TCTGAGCTAGAGCCTTGCCATAAGGCACTTCCCCCCCATCCCCCCACACCATCTCCATGCTGCTGAGAAGAACAAGCTTTTGGTCTGCTCCAGTAAGATTCATTGGAGAGGAGAAGTAGCTTGGTTAGGACGTTGGGAACAGGAACTGTCTGGTGGTCACACCTGCTGCTCTGTGAGTGGAAGGGGCGGGGCTATGGGATTCTGAATACCTTATCCACATAAGAGAGCACCTGTGCAAGAGGAGAGAGCTTTTTGCTGGTTGTTTTCCATAGCTGTAAGTGAGTGCTTGATGGAGAGGGGGTGGGTTCAGGAATTTGAGCCCCCGCATATTTACTCAAGCAGCAACCCATTTTGTTGGAAGGGGAAACTAATTTTCACAGGTAAATTGGACAGTGAACTATGGGCAAGTGAACAGTGGTACTATTTAACTCAAAGGGGTATTGTATTGAATAGACAAAATCCACTTGAGCCCTTCTCTCCTGCAATGGACTGGTTTCTTATGACTGCCTTGTAGCCAGTAGTTGAGCTTGTATAAAATGCTTATCTGTAATTAAGTTAACCATGGTTTATTCAACTAAGCTACTTTTTGGGTACACATAACCTAAGAACCATATGCTAACTGCAAAGGTTGAGTTTAAGCAACATGTTCTAAAATGTGATAGGCTGATATGTTTTCCAGCGTGTGGTGTCTACACAGCTGCTTAATATCTCTCCTCAACTGCACAAGCCAGCTGTGTGACTTTGGCTCAGTCATCCCATTATTCAGGCTGAGGTGTTGTGAAGATACGTTTCATGGGCAGGGAGGACACAGAATTTGATTAGAAGAAATAAGGTAAGGAGTAAACATTGGTCCTAAGGCACACACTTGCTTTTTTTTATTTATGTTCATTGTTGAAAAATGGTTGTGGTAGCTGTTTTCATCTACTGAAAACGTGTATGTGCTTTTCTTAGGTAGTGATGCCAGCAGCAAAGTGCCTGACCTCCATGTCTTTGAAATTGAAATAATTCTAAATGTGGAAATAATTAGAAGAGCTATGCCACCTCTTTTCTCAATCTTTCTGAGCTGTAATGAAACAGATGTGATTGGGAGAGGCTTTCTTCAAACTCATAGCTTCCAACTGTGCTGAGATTACAATTCCTAGCATTGTCTGTCAACTTTTGGCTATATTGGGCTGAGAATTTGTAGGATTGAAAATGCCAAATTGAGAAAGACTAACCTATGATATTGATGTAACTGGTATAATTGTATAGGTAATGAACTGAAACAAACCTTCATTTAAAAAAAAGTTTGTTGAATTCCTTCTGAATTAATTACCCAGAAATGGTGGCCATTTTAAAAATAGTTTTGCATCAAATCAAAACATATTGGCAACTTTCCACAACCGGGTTTCCTCCAGATATTTTGTTACCAGTTTCAACCTAACCTGACCGCTTGAAGGTTGTTAATGGAAATTATGAAAGATAATTAAGAATTATTGCTAATGTAAAATATTAGTTTATCTACTGAGACATTTGAGAGTTTTTTTAAAATGTAAACTCATTTTTACAGAATGCATAATCCAGGGTGCTCTCACAATTTTCCTAGGAAGATTAAATACTGTTGTAGTTCTCTTTTGATGTAGTTTTCAACAATTAGGAAAATAACTGGTACAGCATTGAATCCTCTAATATTAAAGAAGCATGGCATTAGTACATTGGCCAATCTTTCTCTTAAAACTCTTGACTAGTACTATATAAAAGCACAGAAAAAAGCTGTAGGAAGAATTAAATATAAGTTTGTATTTTCTCATCTTTATTTTTTAGAGGAACAAGGAATGATATGTAAGTGTAGGTTTTTTAGCTACATAATGTTTTTTTCTGCAAATAAACACTCAATAAAATAATTATTTTCATTATGTAGAGGAAGCTAAAATGGATCCTACAGAGAAGAAAATATGAGAAAGAAGTTAAACCTCCCCTTTCAGAACATTAAATTTGAGATTAGGAGTGAATATCCTGTAGAGAAAGTGAAACTTCACCAGAGTCCTTATCTCATGATTCTTGTCTACTGTCAAAGTTTATATAACATGCTTCATATGTTATTTCTCCCATATATGCATATGCACTAGTCTGGGAAGCCATTGTAAGACTCAAAAGGGTTTGGAACTCAGTTTGGAAAAGGCCTACTTTCTTCTTCCAGTATAAATTTGGCAGAAAAACAAATCTGGTCACGTTGCCAACTTCAAAAGCCAATACAAAAATTTATGCCACCAGATAAAGACTGAATGCACCAATTATCACATTAAACAAAAGGAAAACCTTCTACGCACCAATTCCACCCACGCTTTCTACAGTTTTGTAAACAACAAACTAAAAGACTCAAGGTCCATCCCACCCCTGAAAGTACCTAATGGTAAAGACTGCAACGAGGACACCATTAAAGCCAACTTCTTTAACACATTCTTTGGCTCAGTATTTGTAAACAGCCATGGATCATGCCCAGTATTTCCTAGTCGAACCACAGACAACTACAGTGATCTAATATCGATTTTACAGAAGACAATGTTGAAAAAGCACTATGCAATCTAAAACCATCTCTGTCTATTGGACCTGATGGAATATGTGCCTACTTCTTTAAAAAGCTATCCACTGGCATAGCCGAACATCTAAGCATAATCTTTGAAAAATCCTTCAAGACCAGCTCCTTGCCAAAACTATGGTCACAAGCTACGGTCATCTCCATCTTCAAAAAGGGAGACCCCAGCCTAGTTGAAAATTACAGACCAATCTCTTTATGCTGCGTCACCTGTAAAGTCATGGAATCAATTATTAACCAATCCATCATCCTCCACTTAGAGACAAACAACCTACTCTCTAATAAACAATTTGGTTTCAGAAAAAAAACTATCTTGTAATCTGCAACTCTTACACTGCAAAAACATATGGACTACACAACTCGATCAGGGCAAAGCAATAGACGCAATCTACATAGACTTCTGTAAAGCCTTTGATTCAGTGGTACATGACAAACTACTAAAACTAAAATCTTACGGTATCTCTGGACACCTGCATAACTGGATAGAAGCATTCCTGTGAAACAGACAACAAATGGTCAAAATTGGGAGCATCCTATCATTCTGTACCTGTCAACAGTGGTGTCCTCCAAGGCAGTGTTCTAGGACCAACTCTTTTCATACTCTACATAAATGACCTCTGTGATCATATTAAGAGCAATTGCGTTCTCTTTGCTGATGATGTAAAGCTATTCAACACCACAGACAATACTGCTACCCTTCAAAAAGACCTTGACGATGTATCAGAATGGTCAAACAAATGGCAACTTCAAATCTCAACAAATAAATGCACTGTCTTACATATTGGCAAAAAAAATCAGAAAATAAAATACAGCCTGAATAGTTAAGACCTTGTTGATAGTCCAAACTCTGTCAAGGATCTTGGAGTACTCCTCTCTAATGATCTAAGTGCTAGAGCCCACTGTAACTACATAGCCAAAAAGGCGTTAAAGAGTTGTTAACCTAATCTTATGTAGTTTTTTCTCTGGTAATATTACACTACTAACTAGAGCAGGGGTGTCCAACCTTGGCAACTTTAAGACTTGTGGACTTCAACTCCCAGAATTCCTCAGCCAGCTTTGCTGGCTGAGGAATTCTGGGAGTTGAAGTCCACAAGTCTTAAAGTTGCCAAGGTTGGACACCCCTGAACTAGAGCATACAAAACATTTGCTAGACCAATACTCGAATACAGCTCATCAGTCTGGAACTCACATTATGTATCTGATATTAACACAGTTGAGAAAGTCCAGAAATATTTCACAAGAAGAGTTCTCCACTCCTCTACTTGTTGCAGAATACCTTATGCCACCAGACTTGAAATTCTAGACCTAGAAAACCTAGAACTACGCCGCCTTCGGTCCGATCTAAGTATAGTATATAAAATCATACATTGCAATGTCCTACCTGTCAATGAATACTTCAGCTTCAACCATAACAATACAAGAGCAAACAATAGATACAAACTCAAGGTTAATCCCACCAAACTTGATTGCAGGAAATATGTCTTCAGCAACAGAGTGGTCAATGTCTGGAATACTCTACCTGACTCTCTGGTTTCTTCCCCAAACCCCCAAAACTTTAACTTTAGACTGTCTACTATTGACCTTTCCTAAGAGGTCTGTAGGGGGCGTGCATAAGTGCACCAACGTGCCTACTGTCCCTGTCCTATTGTTTTATTTTTTTATTTTTCTTATATGTATCCATGTATTCATAACTATGTTTTTACTTATACCTATTATCTTGTAAGCAATTGACAAACCAAATAAAAAAATAAAAAAATAAAAAAAATCATTTTACCAATGATCTCTTCAGAGAATAGTGTCGGATTTTGAATAGTGTGATCTGGCTTTGAAAATTTCTTGGCCATAAAAATTAGCAACCTTGGGATACTTACTCCAGTTTAGCAATCTTGGGATAATAGTTTATCATGAAGTTTAGTATAATCTCAGCCCATTGTACTTCATTAAGAAGATATGAAGATAAAATAGTTTCCAAAGAAGTACAAAGTCAATTTACTACCATGTTTCTCAACATCAGCAACATTATGATGTTGGACTTCAACTCCTAGAATTCTTCTAACTAGCATTTCTTGTTTTCTGCATATAGAGAGTTGAATTCCACTACTCCCCTTCCTAGTCTTATTGCAATGTAATGGGGATTATAGAAAAGGGATTGGATTCTAGTTTAGGTCGAGCTGCGTGTGGAGAGCTTATACATACTTTGCTTTCAGTTATATGTTGGAATGCAGTTTACTCAATACTTTTTTCCCTGATACCATGTGAGTTTTTTCACTGCACTGCTGTCAGACACACATGGAGAAGTTACATGGAGTGCTATCGTAGCTATTCTAATCCCATGTTGTTTTTGTGTCTCAAAAGTCTCTACATTATGCAACTTAGTAGTAACTAGATTCTGCTTCACTTCCAAAGTTACACTAGATGATTGGCCATGAATGCTAGTGGCCCAGGATATCCTCTAGCCTCTCTCTATGTGGGTGATCTTCATCCAGATGTGACTGAAGCTATGTTGTATGAGAAGTTTTCACCTGCTGGATCCATCATGTCCATCAGAGTTTGTCGAGATGTTTCCACACGACGATCTCTAGGTTATGCTTACATAAATTTTCAACAGCCTGCTGATGGTAAGAACTTTCTTTGCTTGGTTTAATGTTAATACTGTACATTATTGGAATACATACTAAAATACACTTTCTTTTACTATTTTCCCCCAACTTGTTTGTCTTTAAAAGCTTAAGATTTTCTGAGAGAATGTGGTTTCCTCTTTAGTCTTCTTTTCCTTTTTCAGATGGAGAAGGAATGTAATATCCTTTTCAGGGCTAATAACTTTAAACTAATGTTTCATATATGCTTTATATAAAGATTTCTTATGTTTCATAATTGTATTAACACTCAGACTTGCTTATCTATTTTTAAGGGTAACATTTTTATTTCCTCAGTTCTAAGGACAGTCTCTGCTCTTTCGTTAGTAATCTGATCTATTTCAATCTGAAGAAATGGGAGAACTGGTGCTTTTAATTTTTTTAAAAATGATAAAAAATAATATTGTCAGGAAGCAAGTGCTGAAATAAGGACTACCTCTTTTACTCATAATCTGCAAATGTTAAATTTTAATGCACAAAGTTGGTCCTTATGGATTTTATTAATGGTCTTAGACACCAACAATGAATCAAATATAAATGTTAATGATCATAAATTCAACCTGTCAACCTCATTTTAAATTAATAATTTCTGACAAGGCCTTTGTTTCCCAAATTAATGTCTGAAACTTCAAATTGAACATGTGCAATTTAAGCTTTTCTTCAGAAAACAAAGTTTTGTTACCCTGTTTCCCCGAAAATACCACCTACCCTGAAAGTAAATCCTAGCTTGATTTTTACATGTGCGTCCAATATAAGCTCTACCCCCAAAATAAGCCCTAATTAAGATCCCACTCGAGTGCACAGGTAAAAATTAAGATAGGGTAGGGATGGAGAGTGGAGCTGCCCTACTACTTACCTTTGGACAGTTGTAGCCAGGCCTTACACACCCCGACACCTGCCTTGCTGGGCCATTTCTTCTGTAGCTGGCAAGGCTTTCTTGAAGGCCTCTGTAGCTGATAACAAAGCTTTGGATCAATCTGGAGCTCTGTTATTGGCTGCAGAGGCCTTCAGGAATGCCTTGCCGGCCGCAGAAGAAATAGTTCCTGAAGGCCTCTGACAGTGAAAAAGAGGCCAGGAGGTGATGCATGCAAGTGAGGTTAGTCAGTGGATGACGTCCCCTGAAAATAAGACTTGTGTCTTTTTTGGTGGCAAAAAATATAAGACGGGGTCTTGTTTTCGAGGAAACATGGTAAATAAAAAATGCAACAAATATGCTACAGAAGGATATATTACATGTTAATCAGTTCTATATTACAGTTTTCATTTTGATTATTTTCAATTTAGGATTTTACTTGCAGACAACTCCGTGAAAACCAGTGATTTCTTAAACCCTTATGCCATCTCGTTTTCTTGGAGATAATGTATATTGGTAATTCTGAACTATTTGAAAAGTTAGATATTGGTGCATTGAAATTTGTGTTTCCCAAGTTTGTTTTTTGATTTATTGATAAAAGAATGTGCTTTTATTTTTTCTTCTTCAAGCTGAACGGGCTTTGGACACCATGAATTTTGAAGTCATAAAAGGTCGGCCCATTCGTATCATGTGGTCCCAGCGAGATCCCGGACTCAGGAAATCAGGTGTCGGCAATATTTTCATCAAGAATCTGGATGATTCCATTGATAACAAAGCCTTATATGATACATTCTCAGCTTTTGGAAATATTCTTTCTTGCAAAGTAGGTACAACCTTTTCAGAAATCATGAAATATAGTTCTATTTTTTTAATGATGATGTTGCATTTTCATTTGGAAGTCAGAAATATATTCATGTTTTTGTTACTTTTTCTTATCAATGTTCGGGCTGCAGTATCAATCTGTTATTGTTTAATGGCTTTCAATTTAACAAGACTTTCAATTATTTTGCCCTTGGGTAAAGCATCTAGATCAAACTTGCTATGTCACATTGCTGTCTCATGATGTTTGCGACATTTTCCCCATTCATGTAGCTGGAGTAGGCATGGCCTGCATGTGACACATCCATCCCACAGGCTGCCAATTTGACATCCCTGATCTAGATCAGAGGTCGCCAACCAGTGGTCCGCGAGAAAATTTTGGTGGTCCGCTGCACACCCGTGTCTGCTACAGGCATGATATTGGCAGCGGATGGACTGATGTGCGTAGGGAGGGAGGGTAGCACGTGGGAGATCACAGCATTGGAGCCCTTCCTGGGTGTTCCCTGGCCTGCGGGGGGGGGGGGGTGGGGAGGAAGGAACCTCTGAACTGGTCCTGGGTGGTGGGAATCTAATGTCCAGAGCCCAACAACCCACATGCTGAAGACCAGATTGCTGGTGGGGGGGGGGGAAATCCTGCAGTCTCCCTAGCAAACCCATGTCATGGCTGCTGCCTCCTGCCTCTGTGCATCGAGGAGGCCGAGCAGCAGCAGAAAGAGAATGGACCTCCTGAGCCACAGGTAGTGGCTGCCAGTGATGCCCTCAGGTGAAGATGTTGCGAGGGGGAGGCTTGACCCCTCCCCTCAGGAGCCACAAAGTGCTTGCTGCCCCTCTGGCAGCCGCCAAGCATCCTCCTGCTGTGCTTCTCTTCCTCCTCACCAGAAGCGTTCACATGCCCAGTGGGAAGGAGGAGGCTTGGCGGCTGCCAGAGGGGCAGCGAGTGCTTTGCGGCTCCTGAGGAGAATGGTTGAGCCTCCCCCTCGCAACATCTTCAACTGAGGGCATCGCTGGCAGTCGCTTGGCCTCCTTGATCCGCGGAGGCAGGAGGCAGAAGGCAACACCAGTTAAGAGGTTCCTTTCCCCCCACCCCCACCCCTTTGCAGGCCAGGGAACACCCAGGAAGGGCTCCAATGCTGCAATCTCCCGCGCGCTACCCTCCCTCCCCACGTGCATCAGTCCATCCGCTGCCAGTATCATCCCTGTTGCCCCACCTCTCCGCCAGCCATCTGGTCTTCAGCGTGTGGCTCGTCAGCCTCCAGACATCAGATTCCCACCACTCAGCACTAGTTCAGAGGTTCCTCCCCCCTCGGGGACGGAGGGGGGGGGCAGAAGAGAGAGAGGGAGGGAAGGAAAAGAAAGAGAGATGAGAGATCCCGGTGTTTTGTTTTCTGTGGGAAACAGGTCCAATGACTCTTTTGAGTATTTAAGGTTGCAGAAACAGGCAGCCAAGCTGTGCCTGAAGGACTGCATCTCATCAGCGGGAGTCCAGGCACTTCAGCGAATGGCATGCTGGATTCATGTTAGTGGTCTGCGGGATTTAAAATTATGAATTTGGTGGTCCCTGAGGTCCAAAAGGTTGGAGACCCCTGATCTAGTTTATTTCCCCACTTTCTGCCAGCATTTTTTTCAGGATGGGACAAGAGATGATGATTTCTCAGCTGTCAAAATTACTATAATGGCTCCAGAAGTGCAGCTGATTCTGAGGACAGAATTAGATTAGATTCAACATATTGTTTCCTCTTCTCCCTGGAATTGGGAGCTCCAGAACTATATAAACTGATATCTCTCCAAATATGCTTCCATTCGTACCCATGTAATCTCCATCCAGCATCAACAGTATATATTAGTTGGAGATTATAGGACCTAAAGCCAACATTCTTAGGTTAAGCAGGTGATAGCTATTATTCTTAAGTCCTGGGAACTGGGAATATAAAAGTCAACTGGGAAGAACTGGGAATATAAAAGGCAAGTGGTGGACTGATGATCAGTTCCAAGTTTTGATTGGCCTCATTTTCTTTCATCTTTCTCTTACATTTCTTAACAGGTTGTTTGTGATGAGAATGGATCTAGGGGTTATGGCTTCGTCCATTTTGAGACCCAGGAAGCAGCAAATAGAGCAATTGATACAATGAATGGAATGCTGCTAAATGATCGCCAGGTGTAAGTGGAAGCCTGAGTAGATCTTTTTCTTCTTCCTAGCATTTTCCCGCAGATGCAGGGTCCACTTTTTGGATTATTGAAGGCCACTTTGAGTGGTCAGCTGCATCTCTGGGGCGCAGGCCTGTGGCTTGCATGTCTTTGTTGATGGTGTCTTGCCACCTCTGTTTTGGATGCCCGCGAGGTCACCGACGTCTACTTGGTAGGCTGTCTTGGCAATGGTGGAAGGTCCTGTACTCTGGACATATCCATACCATCGGAGCTGGACTTCTCTCATCTTCTCTGTAATTGGTACCACACCAAAATGGTGTCAAATGGTGTCAGGAAGCCTGAGCAGATGGTGCAAGCTATTATTTTCTGTGTATCCTTTAGAATGGGAATAACCTGCAATTCTATATAGTTTAAAGAAACAGTCGTGTCTTGGTGGTAAATGTGTGCTTTGAATGTATAAGATCCAGGTTCAGTTCTAGGATCTCCTGGGAAGCAACTGTCTGAATCTTTGAAACTTAGGAGATCCATTATTAGTCAGGGCCAACAGAGTGAAGTCAAATAGGTTTACTAGGCTAAATACATCAATCAGCACAAGGTGTTTTCTATATCTTGGAGTGGCTACTGTAGTATTTTGCCTGGGAGTTTACTTTCAACTCACAATTGGGATCAGGTTTTAGATCAGCACTTTTAGATCAGCACTTTTAGAACTTTTAGATTTTTGATCTTTTAAATCAGAAATAGCCCAAGGCAATAGGTGGCCCACAACCCCTGAATGTGGCCCCCCGATTCTCTGTACAAGCTGCCATCAGATTTCAATTCAAAGTGCATTGAAAGAAGGGAATCATGAAATAAAAGGGGAAAGTCATTTTATAATACTGAAACTTTAATATTAAAATTAGCTTTCATATTGGTTTCACAGACATTTTAATAATAAATCACCGGGAATAAGGGTTTACTACCAAAAGCCGACTAGGATCCTTGCTTGAATGCTGCAGATATTGTTTTAGATTCTTTTAAAATATCAGATTATAATTTTTTTAACTGATGTTGTACATCTTAAAATCATTCTACATATTTGATATAAAATATGAATGTAGCCAAAGCATTTTTTATTCTTCCCTTTTATAATAATTTAAATCTATGAAGCAACATTCTTAAACTTACTTACTTTAAATTACAGGCTTTTTTTTTGCTTTTTAAAAAGTTGACTTTAAGGTATTGCACACTTAGATACATTATTTTTAAGGGTGGGATATGGATTTTAAAAATATATGAATTTTTTAAAAAAAATCTCAATTTCTTTATTTAACCTCTGGATTCCCCTAAAGCAGTGATTCCCCAACCTTTGCAGCTTGGAGGCCCGGCTGGAGAGGAGGAGAGGGGAACTGGGCCACACTAATGATGGGTTGGTGTGCACGCACACAGCTTGACTTGCACTAGCAACAGGCTGGCATGCATGTGTGTGATTGCCCTCTGGCCTGCTGCTTGTACAAGTTGAGCTTTGTATGTGCGCTCCAGCCAGCCACTCATGCGGCCCAATTCCGAATAGGCCCTGGCCTGGTAGTGGGCCACAGCCCAGAGATTGGGGGCCACTGCCCAAACATACCAAACATACCAAAGCATACACCCTGCCTCTTTGTGAGGTTTATCAAAAATTGGCTTCTCAAAAGATTCACTTGAGAAGACAAAGCTTTGGCTTTGCCCAAAGAAGAAGCTGCTCCAGATGCATAACTTGTCAGCTGAATAAAAGAGAGTAGGAGGTCTCTTGTTCTGCCCTTGCAATACCCTTTTAAGAGATGGCTTCACATCTCCTGTCTTGACCCTGCAGATTTGTTGGCCACTTTAAGTCCCGCCGAGAGCGTGAAGCAGAATATGGAGCCAAAGCAATGGAATTCACTAATGTCTATATTAAAAACTTTGGAGAGGACATGACTGATGACAGGCTGCAAGAAATATTCTCAAAATTTGGTAAGGGTAGCACTAAAAATTACTGCTTATAAAATAAGGGGTGTGAGCATAAGTTTAACAGCTTAGCAAAATAGCAATAGCATTTAGACTTTTTACCATTTCACAGTGCTTTACAGCACTCTCTGAGCAGTTTACTATGTCAGCATATGGCCTTCAACAATCTAGGTCCAAATTTTACCAACCTCAGAAAGATAGAAATCTAAGTCAACCTTGAATTGGTCATGATTGAACTGCTGGCAGTTGGCAGAGTTAGCCTGCAATAAGGCATTCTACTGCACCACCATGGCTTAGATGCTGCTTCAGTTTTTTTGTGCAGACGATACAGCCAGTAGTGTACCTACTTCCACATAGGTAAAAATATTCAATTGCTAAGTAAACATTTGAAATCATAATCTAAGCCATAAGGGTACAACAATTCTTCATCTGATTAAGGATATATTTTGGGAAGTTTTCCCCATCTGTTGCTGTTCAGATACAATACTCATCACCTCCCCCTAATCCTTTTGAATTCGTCAATTATCCCTAAGGAATGAAAACTGATAACCATTATATCTGGAGGGTACAGAATTATGGAAAGCTACATTTTGACATATAAACTAGTTTTAAAATGGCTTCCCTTTTTGAGTTAGAAATTTCTTCCCTATAATTATATCAGAACACCTGACCTATTAGTCCTGCGCTATCTAGCAAAAGTGGATGCACTTGGTAAGAGAAAGATTTCATTGTAAGATACATAAAATGATAAGGATGCCTAGTATTTAGAAGAGAATAGCTTGATTTGTATGGCTAACCATCTGATTTAAGCAACTCTGGGTCACTCAAACTGCCATGAAACAAATTTGAATTTTCTACTGCAGAATTTGAAGACATGAAAAATACCTCCCAGAGTAAAATTTCTCTATGAGCCAAAGGTTTAAATATAATAGAAGAATGTGGTACTTATTGGCATGTATCCATTACTATCCATGAATGGAGCTAAATACCTTGTGCCTCAGCGCTCCATGAAAACCTTCTTTCTTGTAGTATTAGCCTAAAAGTTTTTGTTCTACTTCCAGGAAAAACTTTGAGTGTCAAAGTCATGATAGATAATACTGGCCGCTCAAGAGGATTTGGTTTTGTCAATTTTGAGAAGCATCAAGATGCTCAGAAGGCAAGTTGATCTTTATTCTCAATCTTCCTTTCTCTGTTAAAGAGTAAAGCTAGGAGAAAAGATTTGGGGGATATAATAAGAATTTAAGAGTCTTTTTTTAAGCCAGTGTCTCGTCATAGATTGAACTAGTTTTCCAATTATTTCCTCAGGCTGTGGCAGGATAGCATTTCATCCTTTGGCTAGTTCAGAATAGGCCTTGATTAAAATAATAAATGCAATTAGTGTGTGACTTACAACATTTCATTTAGTGACTCTTTGAAGTTATAAGAGCACTGAAAAAAGTTACAACTGGTCCTCACACTTACAATTGTTGCAGCATCCTCATGGTGACATGATCAAAATTTGGGTGCTTGGCAACCAGCAAGTTTTAGGACAGTTTTAGAGTCTGAGTATCATGTGATTGTCACCTGAGATCTCAAGGACTTCTGACAAATGAGATCAATGAGAAAAGCAAAATTCACTTAACACTGCATTTTTCATTTAACAACTGCAATGATTTGCTTAACAAACATGGTAAGAGTTATAAAATGGTATACAACTCACTTAACAACCTGCCTTGCTTAATAATGGAAATTCTGATACCAGTTGTGGCTGTAAGTCAAGGACTACCTGTACTGAAATGATAAAGTATGAGGTGATTTCCTGTGAAATAAATTTACAGCCTTGCCTGTCACCTCTTCTCACCGCAGGCCGTTGAACAGATGGATGGAACTGAGATCAATGACCGAACAGTATTTGTTGGCAGAGCCCAAAAAAGGATGGAGCGACAAAATGAGCTGAAGCGTAAATTTGAACAAATCAAGCAGGAAAGAATGAACCGATATCAGGTAATATGAGCTGAAGGCAAAGTATGGCTGGCACAGAACCATTGGATGTCTTTTAAAAATCCCACATTCTGTTGTTGACTCCAAAATACACCTCTACTAGAATGAATGGCCTGGATGAAGGGACAGAGATAACAATAGCACTTAGAGTTATACACTGCTTCACAGTGTTTTACAGCCCTCTCTAAACAGTTTACAGAGTCAGCATATCTCCCAACAATCTGGGTCTTCATTTTACCGACCTCAGAAGGATGGGTTAACCTTAAGCCTGGTGAGATTCAAACTGCCAAATTACAGGCAGCTAGCAGTGAACAGAAGTAGCCTGCAGTACTGCATTCTAACCACTGTGCCACCGAGGCTCTTGATGAAAGAAACAGGACCAGGAGGGGGAGTGAGAGAAGGAAAATTGAACTAAATTCCCCTTTTCTACTAAACGATCTCAAATGTCCTGTCTATGGCTGGCAATGATTCTTCATCTTGTTGACTCTGATTTGATTCAGTCCCACAGTTACATATTTTATTGTGAGTTTTATTACAGTAACATTCTCCATTCTCATACTCTGCCCCTTTTCTATTATATACTGGGACTTATTGAACAGAAAGATGGAATAGATTTGAGTCTAAGTAACTATTGTTGGCGAATCCAATACTTGGGATGTTTTCTGATGAACCTAGCAGTATGGTTCACTCTGCTGTGCTGCTTTCATTCAGAAAGAGGCAGTTGGGGAATGGGGATTGCTTGAAGAAAGAATGGACTATAGATTTGGAAGTTTCTGAACAGCAAGTGTCAGGTTGTTACTAAATAAGTGTAGTGATTTCTCTCGTCTTTTTATGCCTTTTGAGCAGAATGTCTTTTCCCAAGAAAAGTTCCCAAACTGTGGACAAACCTCATTTTCTTGTATTTTCTCTACTAAGTTGGACTGAGTTTCCTATTCTGCAGGTTCCTTGCTTCATGCTATAAACTCTAAGGTATATATTTTGCTCAAATAAAAACCACAAATGTTGGCAAGATGTAACTGGATTAAAAGCTAACAAATACAGTAGTTTAAAAAACTTTTTCTAGAGGCCAATTCTGTCATGCTCATCCATATAGACATATAGGGATTAATGGATACTCCTGTTTTGAAAATGTACGCTTTGATTACCCCAGAAAATGCTCAATCAAGATTCAAATGAAGTTTCTCATATTTCTCAAATGGGGAACTTTTCAGTTAATTGTTTTTTCTGGTAATTAGTTCTTTCTTATCTTTGTTACATGAAAAGTATGTGTAGATTATTGTAATCCAGGAGTCAGGAAGAACTTGGGGGTCATTTGAATAAGGACTACTTACAGTATCTAGGTGGGCCTTTCTAGCCAGTTATTCTACTTTTGTAAAATATGAACATGGCTACACAGCTTAGGACTTGGATATCTATTGACTGCCTTCAACTTGTGGCTTCCATCCCATTCATTAAAATTGGGAAGGGTGGACTCTTTTCAGTTCCCTTCTCTTAAGGAATGACATCTTTAGAGACCTTAAGATTCAGCCTTCTCAGTGGCTATCCTCATCCTTGGGAACAGCATTCTTCTCAAGATTAGGTTTGCTCCCATCTCATTGTTTTTTTCCAAAACAGTTAATATTTGATTTTTCCTGAAAGGGGTGTGATTGATTGATAATTAAATACATCAATATAACAATTGGATGTTATAATTGATCCCCGATTGCTGTTATTCTGTTTTGTTGCATATTGTCATTGCTATATTAGTATTGCATTGTTTCTTCTGGTTGTAAGTAGCTTTGACCCTAGCAAGATGTAAACTGTAGTAGATATAAGCAACTAGGGAACAAATTCAATAAAAGTAACATGTAATCTAGATTTAGGTACTGGGTAAATGGCAAATAATAGAAGTTATCATAGGACAATATTAAGTTCACTTCATGAATTTGAAAGATAATATCTAGGGTAGCCCCTCCCACAAGGGATGTCTTCTAGATATTTTCAACTATAACTAAATTTACCTTTGACTAACATGGCTACTCATCAGATAAAATCCTAATCCTAAACCCTAGATACTGCTCTTGATAGCACGTAAGATTCTTTCAGACTTATGATGCTGGATGATGTCACTTATATGTATATATTCATTACAAAACTCTTTATCTTAATATTGTTTATAGTGAAGAGGAAAAAATGGCTGTGCTTGTTTGCTTTCAGGGAGTAAACTTGTATGTAAAGAACTTGGATGATGGCATTGATGATGAGCATTTGAGAAAAGAATTTTCACCCTATGGAACCATCACAAGTGCTAAGGTTAGATTCTAATACCGGAGTATCTTTGCATTTTTGATGTGGATGCTTGCTAGTTGTTCTCACCAACTGAAAATAGTACTGGGCTTCATCCTTTCAGAATGCAGTTTGAACTTGTTTCACAATTTGATTTACCAAAACCATGTGAATGTTTTAAGATCTAGGGCTGCATAATATGGAAGGCATAATAATCACAGGGGCTCTCACTTGCAGTGCAGTCCATTACCATTCTCCCTTCTTAATTTTTTAAATGATTTATTTATTAATATGCTTAAACCACTCAATAACCAAAGCTCATTTTATGACACCATCAGTTTCCATGTAATTATAATTAATTACCCCACTCTATGCCTTGTATTTCTGCAGTAATTCTGATTGCTATGTTTTTTATTTAAAATATTTTAATCTAATCTTTCTGTCTGAAAGCATAAAACACAAGAATTGTTTTGTACAGTTATTGAATGCAGAGGGATGGCAAAATGGCTTATTGATACATATAAGATTATCTATTCTATTATCCAGTAGAACCAATTCCTGCAAATTCTCTTTCTCTCTCTGTATGTGGATGGGTGTATGTGGATGAGTAGGAATATTATGCAATCTTGAAATAATAAACCAATCTAATACATTGATTACTGTGGGTTAGAAGCTATGTAACAGGTTGGGCACAGTATAATATGAAGCTTGTAATAAGGGCTGGAGAAGGACATTTAGAATTGAATCAACTAGCGTCATTTCCCTGGTATATAATGTTCCACCAGCAAGGCAGATTCTAAAGCTGGTGCATCTTCAAATCTGTTCTGCAGTTTTGGAAAAAATCTGAGACTTCTGCTTGGAGAAGACTGAAGAGAAATGTTCCATATTGTTGGATATAGCTCTTAGCTTTCAATTGAAAACAAGAATTTAAATTAGAGTTTTAATATTTTCAAACTTTCTTAATTGCCACTGTTAATATAACAGAAGAAAGCTGTTAAATATATGACAAGAAAGCAAGTGTATTAACAGTATTTTTAGTTGCATTTTGTGCAATGATAACCCCAAATCAAAAATAACTTTGTTGTGGCTTCATCCCTTACTCTGATGTACTGGGAATCACTACCTTTTGTAGCCTTTATACATAGCCCACCAGGGATGGGATTCAATTTTTTAAAAAACCTGGTTCTGTGGGCGTGGCTAGGTGGACGCGGTCATGTGACTGGGTGGGCGTATCTTCTTTTTTTGCAGCGCCCTCCCTGGGTTTTTTTGCCTCCCGGGCCTGAGGGAAGCCTCCTGGGGGGGGGGAGGTGCGGTTGCTCCCAGGAACCTTCCCTGGGGCCCAGGAAGGCAAAAAATGGAGCACAGAGGGGCATGCAGCACCCCCCTGTGCTCCATTTTTGGGCCTCCTGGGCCTCAGGGAAGCCTCCTGGGGGGGGTGTTTTTGTTTCCAGAAAGCTTCCCTGGGGTCCAAGTGGCAAAAAGGGGCAAGGGGGCGCATAGCACTCTCCCCAGCCCATCCCTCGTGCCCCCTTTTGCCTCCTGGGCCTCAGGGAAGCCTCCTGGGCAAAGCAGTAAGACAGCAAGGAGGATCCCGGCACAGCTGATCATTGGAACAGCTGATTGTTGGGAGGGGGAAAAAGAAATACCTTAAGGAGTGACTGGGCGGTGGAGAATGCAGTCAGCGATGTTGGGTATGCATGCGATGTTGCCCATAAGGACTGACTGGGTGGGGAGGGGGGGCAACCGGAGAGGGGCGGGGTCAGCCAGAGACACGATTTGCCAGTTCCCCAAACCGGTAGAATCCCACTCCTGTAGCCCACCTTCAGTATGCCAAATGTGAAGTTGTGTAATCTTAATCCATACAAACTGTGTTTAAAAGCTTGTTTTTCCAGAGTTTGGAAAAGTTGACAATTGGTTCATTCTCTTTGGTCCCTTTCTCTTTCTATGCATGGGGTGTTTGCAGGTTGTGGTAAAACAAATCAAGATGACGGCCACAGAAGTGCTACTGATGCTCAATGGGCTTTGTTTTATTTTTCCATTCAGGTAATGACGGATGGCGGACACAGCAAAGGTTTTGGGTTTGTATGTTTTTCTTCCCCAGAAGAAGCGACCAAGGCTGTGACAGAAATGAATGGACGCATCATCAGCACTAAGCCTTTGTATGTTGCCCTCGCCCAACGGAAAGAGGAGAGAAAAGCCATTCTCACTAACCAATACATGCAGAGGATGGCCTCCATGAGGGCCTTTCCCGGGCCTCTGCTGTGTTCCTTTCATCCTTCTGCTGGCTACTTCCTGCCCTCAATTCCACAGGTAAGACCTATAAGAATACCATTTCCATTAAAGATACATAAATAAAGTTAACAGCATTTGACAGCATAGAACTCAAGGAATAGGAAAACATTTCTCCCTCGAGATGCATATTTTAAAATGGGCCATCAGGCATCAGAATCAAATGTATACCTGGGACATGTGAATGATTAGGGTGGACTACCTTTTTTTCCAATCTGGGGACTCTATTTTGCCTTTATGCCTGCCCGGGGGCACAACAGTGTGTGTCATGGCATCACCAGGTAGGCTGGGCAAACATTTGGGAACTTTTTGTTTGTTTGGGGGCCAGAGATGGGAGTGAAATGCATTCTCTTTAATCTTCACAGAGAGATAAATGATTTATCTGATCCTTACAATAGTACAATAAAAAAACGGGGGGGGGGGGGGGAGATTTTTGGTACCAAGTTAGAATTTTGTTAATGCCTATCATTCTTATGGGGCATTATTTCCACAAGGTAATTATGCACCCTGTGAAGAGGTATTATTTTGGCTCTTCAAAACCTAATCAGGTTTATTTGAATGCCCTCAAATTCTAGTGTTATAAGAGAAGTCTGAAAAACAAGCTATGAATTGTTTCAAATAAACAAAGTGAATTGTTGCATGTGAAGAGGGGCTTTGTCATTGTTCATTCACCATGCTCTGTAGTCCAATACATTTGAAATTCACTAGGTTGACAACAGCTTTGTATAGTCATCTCCAGACAGTAACATTTTTCAGTTATGCATGTAACTGAAGCCTAGGTTGGGAAATAAAAAGAAGACAATAGCAAAATGTTTTCATATTTATTTCCATGAAACCTACCTGGATATGTTAATGAATTCATCCTCAATCACTGAGTTAGGTCTGAAATGGAGGCACCAGATTGGGAAAAAATTCTTAGATTTATAATCCTAGTGCAGATAGCAACAATCTATAACAATTGGAAGTACAAAAATAAAAACATCACAGAACTTATAAAATCCCCATTTTGGTTCCTTCATATGTTTCAAATTGTATGTATATATGTGTGTGTGTGTTTGTATATATGTATGTGTGTGTATTTCTGTATATGTGTGTGTGTGTAGTGTGTGTGTGTATGTGTATGTATGTATTTTGTTTATTTTGTCCATTTTGTTTAACAGAGAAATAACAAATGTTCTGATAGTCATAGGAAAAATCATAATTATAATAACAAAAATAATTGTTAACTTATTTATATTCAATAACTGATCTTTTACTTATGCATAGTAATAATCTTCCCTCTTCTGATTTCTATCTCTTATATCTAACTACTGGTAAAACATTTTTCCAATATTGTTCAAATACAATTCTCGCTGCTGTCAACACATGACAACACAACATATGTTTCAAAATATTAATGATATAAAAATAACTATCTTGTTAGTTTATATACATTGTCATACCACCTTCTCTTCTTTCTTCTCAGCAACAAGCTAGAGCTACTTTCTACAGTCCTAGCCCCGTTGCCCCGGTCCGCCCAGCCCCTCGCTGGAATACTCACTCTTGCAGGCCTCCTTGTGAGTTGAAATATGATTATCCAGAAAATATGTCTAAGAATGTAAGGAAATGAGGTTGCCCATGTGTGAAGTTCTTCCTTTAATGCTGGGGTGTCAAACTCGGTTTCAGTGAGGCCACATCAGAGTTGTGTTTGACCTTGGAGTTTGTCACCCCTGCTTTAGTGTCATGGTCTAGGACTAAGAAATGTTCTTAAAATAGCAACCAAACTATGATTCAAATATTGTGGGGTAGTGTGCATGGCTCGTAGTCTTAATTGTAAATTCAGTAATGAGAATGAACCAGAATTCTGGTATTAACTACTGCTATGATTTCATCCATAAATAAGGTTTCTGACTGAAGGTATTTAATTGTTGTTAGCAGCCTATCATGCAGCTACTCCAATGATAAGAACTAATGGACCCCCTCGCCGCCTCCTCTCCAACATCAGCACTATGAGACAAGCCTCAACTCAAGTTCCCAGAGGACCATCCACTGGTCAGAGAGTGGGTAGGTTTGGGGCTTTTGCTAGTACATCGTCCAGATGAATGCAACTTATATCTCTCAAGGGAATGGGTTTAGCCTTGGTTTTTGAATCATTGACTGGAAACGGAGGAAAGTGAACCTTAGAGTTTGCACAATAAATTCTACAATGTGCTACTTATTTCTTAACATAAAACCTAAGTTTTTGGAAGTCTGTTGCTGTATGATTGGAAAATATAGTCTGAGAATACAGTAGCATGTAATGCTAAATCTGGGTTTTGTTTTGGCTTACTGAGCAAGCCCATGAGGGTTAGCCAAAAGGAATGGGCTTACACAAAGCTAAAACAATTAAGACACATTATTGCTTTTAATACTAAGTGTAACCCAAGAAACTAAACTTATGGCTTAATTGAGCTAAATGTATTGACAGCAGACTGGTGAAAATGTAACTTCTTGGGAGCCTGCACTGGACAAAAGGCTCACCAAGAGTTTATGCCTAATGTAATCAATCTTCCCAGAATGTCATTGGGTATATCTTTCTACTTTTGTACCATGTATCATGCATGTGAAATCTGGCAAAGCTATTACAGATCTGTACCTTCCCAGGTTTGGGTGCAATATAAGAACTGTGCTATTTTAAAAGTTTTTTTTTTTAAAAATAAACATGTAATATTGTGGAACAATTAAAGCCTTTTTTCAAAATATTTCTGGTTTCATTCCAGTCAACATTGGAACCCAGACCACTAGTGCAAGACTATCCTCTTCTCCAACTTTCTCACGTGGTATCTCGCAGTACAAGTATTCTTCAACTGTGAGGAATGTCAACCCTTTGGGCGCAGTAACATCTCTGCCAATGCAACAGGTCTCTACTCTTCCATTCTGCAGTTAAAATACACACTTAGAAGCAGAACCTAACTACTCTTAGATGGGTTATTTTTGAGATAGTAAATTGGGCAAATTGTAGCAGAGAGATATAGAGATGGGATTCTGCTTTGGGAATGGTCTTTAAGTTGGATATCAGTGAGAACTCACAGAGAAACCAATGAGTCGGATCATTAGCCAGTTCATGTTTACACACTTGGTTGAACAGATAAAGTGTCCAGGTTACCAATAATATTCCTTTCCCGTGTTTCCCTTTAGATGGAAATTGGGAACACTACATTCCTGAAATTCCTAGTGCTATTATTACACTTAAAACACAAGATGGTTCCCTTCTGCATTTGATTACATGAAAATATACCTTGATTTTAAAAATACAAATATAGATTGAGAGGATGCTGCAAGATACTTTCAGTATTTATGGTGGTCAGAACATAGTGGCGATCTTTGGACAACAATGATTTATAGCAGCTTTCCATCCTTTAAGACAAGGGTCTTCAAACTTGGCAAGTTTAAGACTTGTTGACTTCAACTCCCAGAATTCCTGAGCTAACATGACTGGAGGAGGAATTCTGGGAGTTGAAGTCCACAAATCTTAAAAGTTGTCAAGACAACTTGCTTTCAGAAATTGAGGATCGGGTCTATGGCTTTCTGCATGGAAAGGAGATATTATACAACACTATCTTTTAAGTTAACTTAAGTTATATATTGATTATTGCATAGTTTACAGAAATCAAATATACTCTATTGTTTCTTCAATATGGCCAGAAGGAAGAATAAATTCTTCCACTGGATAAGATTTGAGTTGGACAGGTGCTTATATTAAAGCTGCTATATGAGTTTGCAAAGAGAAGAAAAGCTCTAACCAATGCATACTTCACAGAGAGTCATCAGTTCATATTAGTTGTTTAGTAGGAATGGAAGGGCTCTTCTCAGTGTATTTTGTTTCTTGGGCTTTAGGCTGTAGAACCAATCGTCCATGGACAGGAGCCTTTGACCACATCCATGTTGGCTGCAGCCCCTCCTCAAGAACAGAAACAAATACTTGGTGAGTGGTGTGCATCTTCTAGTAGGCAGCACTGTGAACTTCCCCCTCAGCCAGGACTTTTTCAGAGAAAAAGTTGTAATCAAATATTTTATGCTAACCATAGTTTAGCTTAGAAAACAATGTTTCCTAAAAAAATATATACTTCAATCTATCAGAATAGAGCAGGAGATTTTATAGTCCAAACCCCTTGATTATAGGGGACTATAGTCCTTGCTCAAGCAGGAGACTCTATACCATTTCAGGCAAAGGGCTGTCCAATTTCTTCTTAAAAACCTCCAGTGATGAAGCACCCATAACTTCTGAAGACAGGCTGTTCCACTGGTTAATTGTTCTCACTGTTACGAAGTTTCTCCCTAATTCCAGGTTGCTTCTCTCCTTGATTAGTTTCCATCCGTTGTTTCTTGTCCATGGACGTACATGTACTGCTTAACAACAGTACGTGGGACTGAAAACACTATTGGTAAGCAACATGGTTGCTAACTTTGATGTCATGTGACTGCACCAACTTATGACTGCAGTTCTGGCACTTCTGGTTGCTGAAATCATCAAAAGCCTTCCTGGTCTTTAAGTGCACTATCACGTGATCACAATTTGTGACTTTCTGCTATCTTCTCCATTGACTATCCTTGTCAGAAGCCAGTTGTGAAGATTGCAAATGGAGACCTTGAGATCACAAAACACCACAACCGTTGTACTTGCACGCCAGTTGCAAGTGCTTGAATTGCAATCACCTGACTGTAACACTCAGGTTGCAGCAGCAGCAACCAAAAAAGCTAATACAGTCCTTGGTTGTATAAACAGAGGCATATTAGTACTGCTTTATAAAGCCTTAGTAAGGCCACACCTGGAATACTGCATCCAGTTTTGGTCACCCCATTACAAAAAGGATGTTGAGACTTGGAAAACGTGCAAAGAAGAACAACCAAGATGATTAAAGGCCCGGATACTAAAACATGAAGAACAGTTGCAGAATTTGGGTTTGGCTAATCTAGAGCAAAGAAGGACTAGGGGAGACATGATAGCAGTATTCCAATATTTGAGAGGCTGCCACAAAGAAGAGGGGGTCAATTTATTTTCCAAAGCACCAGAGAACAAGAAACAACTTTTAGAAACTAATCAAGGAGAGAAGCAACCTGGAATTAAGGAGAAAATTCCAAAGAGTGAAGACAATTAACCAGTGGAACAGCTTGCATTCAGAAGTTGTGGGTGCTTCATCACTGGAGGTTTTTAAGAAGAGACTGGACAGTCATTTGTTGAAATGGTATAGGATCTCCTGCTTGAGTGGGGGGGGGCTGGACTAGAAGACCTCCAAGGTCCCTTCTAGCTCTATTCTGAGTGTGAATCTGACCACAGAGATGCTGCAATGGCTGCAACTATGAGGACCAGTCATAAAACTCATTCAGTGCCATCTTGGTCACTTAATGAATTATTGTTAAACAATGACTCCCTGTATTATGCTAGTTCTAAAATCTGACTGTCATAATGTTTTCTACAAATTATCTAAAGCTTTCATTTATTTATTTAGAAATTCACATGGCTACCTATCTGAAACAAGATAACTCTAGGCAATTCACAACAACATTAAATAAATACAGAATAAAGGAAACATTTAACTTCTTATACACAGTGCACATAACTTTCCATGCTCTTGCATTTGCTGAGCCAATTTCTATCCTAGCCAAAAGCCTGGGTGAAACCTTTACAGTTCTCCTAAAGCCCAATACAGAGGATAGCTTCCAAATCTCAGGAAAGCTATTGAAAAGACATATACATAGACTGATGGCATATGCAGTATTTTAGAAGGTTAGTTTCTTAGATGAATGCTCGACAATTCTGTATGTAGGACACGTACTTGTGTTGGAATAAAACCAGAATAAATCAAATTGTAGTAAAAAGATTGGGAGAGAGAGATATCTTTTAGCTGATAAGATGCAACTTCTTTTCTATTGCAAGAGATGAGGATTATTATCCAGTTATCTTCACAGGCTTAGCTCTCTAGTCTCACCCTTAATTATATGCTTTTGGCCACCATACTGTGGTGTCCTGGACTCAGTCTTTGTTGCTTTGTTCCTCTGCCCCAGGGCTTCTGGGCAATACAGATGCAAGAAATACTCTCAGGGAAAATTCTAGCTTCATGACTTAGTTCAGCGTCGCCCATGTGTACTTTATAGCAGGGGTCCCCAACCGCCGGTCCGCGGACCGGTACCGGGCCGCGGAACAAGCCTTACCGGGCCGCTGGTTGCTGGGCGCCGCCATTTTTTTTGACGAAAAAATCGCTTCCGGTGACGTCACCGGAAGTGATTTTTCGTAAAAAAAAATGGCAGCGCCCAGCTGACGCCGGAACCGGGCCGCGGCGCCCAGCTGACGCCGGAACTGGGCCGCGGCGTCGAAAAGGTTGGGGATCCCTGCTTTATAGCATTTAGAACAGGGGACTCCAAACTTGGCAACTTTAAGACTTGTGGACTTCAACTCCCAGAATTCCTCAGCCAGCAAAGCTGGCTGAGGAATTCTGAGAGTTGAAGTCCACAAGTCTTAAAGTTGCCAAGGTTGGAGACCCCGATTTAGAATAAAGCAAGCAAAAGGGATGAAATTTTTACAGCGGGTACTGGAGAGAAAAGAGGGAGAAGTATTACCTTGGTGAAATCTTGAGTTTCCCAGTTTAAATCACCTGATAAACAAATGATAAAAGCTTACTACAATTAACTTCAATTTGTAATGCCTTTATGGGCAGTGTACGTAGAGGTTTTTTTTGATAACAGTGCAGAAGTTGTCTTCTGGGGTGTTTATGTCATTTGCTTAATGTAGCCTACAATCTAGACCAGTGATGGTGAACCTTTTTGGCACCGAGTGCCCAGATTGGAACGCGCATGCATGCGCATGTGGCGGAAAACTGAAGACCAGCCAGCTGGTGTCCTGCTTTTGGGGTCATTTTTGGCCTGGAAATTGCCTGCTTTTTGGCCATTTTCAGACAATTTTCAGGCCATTTTTCGTGCCAAAAACAAGTCGGGAAACGGTCTGTTTTTTTGGACATGTTCAGGCCATTTTCCGGTGCTCCAGCACCCACGAAGACCAGCTGGCTGGCATGCCATAACCCAGAAGAGCAGCTGACAATGGTGCACATTCCCACTGAGATGGGTCTGCGTGCCATCTCTGGTACATGGGCCATAGATTCACCATCTCGGGCCTAGACACTTCTTGGAGCCTACCTGTCTGAATTTAATCAGGATGAAATCTACTTAGTTTTTTGAGATCAGCCTAGATCATCTAATTATTCCTATCTAAGATGTGGTAATAGGACCGCAAAAACAACGGGTTGGCTGGTGTGTCATAGAATGTAAGAAAACATATGATAAATCAAGAAATCCTTGGTTAGAATCTTGTGTCTTCCAAAAATGTGATGTACGTGACCTTACCATGCCTTATAACACCCCTCTCCCAAAATAATCCAGAATATGTGGGCTAAGGGAACAATAGCCTGGCAGTTTGCAGATCAGAGTATCTATAGCTAATGCACCCAAAGCATTGTGAGAAATGAAATCTCTATCCAAATATTATTTATTATGGATATTTATAAAAACAAAAGAATGCTATATCTATTAGTGCAAACTATGTGTACACCTAAGAGATTATCACTTTTTCTATCTTTCTGTTTTACATTTTTGAAGAATTTGTCTTTCCCAAATTGGCAACTTCCAGATATTTTGGGACTTCAGTTCCCAGAAGTGCTTATATAGATGGAGGGCACCAGGCTGGGAAAAGCTGGTCTAGTCATTTGGTATGCAAAAGAATGATCAGTGTAACTTCTTGATTAGAAGTGACACATTTCTGAATAGCTAAGGTTGGGAGGCAATTTACAGTAGTTACTACAGTATTTCTCATTTTCTTATCTCTGATTGAGAAGGAATCTTTGCAGGATCTTATCCACCAAAACATTTAATGATGGTAAACATCAGAGGTGATATTCAGCAGGTTCTGACCAGTTCTGGAGAACCAGTAGCGGAAATTTTGAGTAGTTTGGAAAACCGGCAAATCCCACCTCTGACTGGAGTTTTTACAGTATCCTTCCCCTTCCACGCCCACCAAGCCATGTCCACAGAACCGGCAGTAAAAAAATTTTTGAATCTCACCACTGGTAAACATGCACCATAAAAACTCCCAACTATCTTGTGTTAAAGTGAAATGAGGAAAGATTTGACTTCCAAATGAGTCCAGTGATATTCACACATGTCTGAAGGGTTTTCCAAATATTTCCAGAATTTTTCAAGGGACTTGGGGATTAAAAATCAGACAGATTTAACTCTGAGTATATCTAAAGTTTTTCTCCTTCATCTTGTACTCCCTTAATAAATTGCCTATCAAATTGATATTTGTGAATTTCGCAATTAACGTCAATAATCTTCTGACGAGGTGGGGGTGGGGACTGGGAAATTTATGTGCACATTTTTGTGGGTGACAGTAGGACAATAAATACTGTCACATTTTGTGCTACTGTCTCTGTGATGACCATAACACTAACATCCAATGCTGATAAGTAATACACCAAGTTATTTTATTATTTTTTATTTTATTTAATTTTACCCAATTTAAATAATCTAGATTCTATAGCAAGTACCTGAATTAACTTGTCCATGTACTTCCTAACTATTCAGCCTAAACAGGCATGTCCAACTCAGCATGGGCTACATGCAGCATGGATAGCTAGTACTGCGGCCCGACAAAATTGTAAACCTTTACATTATTATGTGAATATATTATTACGTGATATAACTATATTATGTATTTTATAAGTGGCCCAAGACAATTCCACTTCACTCAATATGGCCCAGGCAAGCCAAAATGATGGATACCCATGATCTAAAATATCTAATGAGTAACAATAGGCCTTCATGATGAGATCGAGATCCACAAAAGTAACAAATAAGTACCGCTTAAAGAAGTATGATAAGAGAAAAACATCTACTCAGTGTAGTCTTCAAGGATTTTTTAAAATAGCATTAGATTTATATCCTGTCTTCTTCTTTGTTCAGCTTAAGACAGTATACATAACACTCTTACATTCTATTTTCCCCCACAACAACACCCCTGTGAAGTGTGTTGGACTGAGAGAGAATGGGAGACACAAAGATAACCCGCCAGCTCAAGTTTTAGGCCTAAAGAAGGACTGGAATTCACACTCTCCCATTTTGTAGTCTAGTCCTTTAGCCATTACACCAGACTATCACTTGGATTGTCTGCATTATCTGTATATCATCTTCTAACTGTGGTGGCTATGGAGAGCACATGGGTTGCAATGGAAGATGAAATCTGCCCTGCCAGCTCAATCTTACCCAACAGCTTAAAAACAGAACATTGGTAGGTCTAGGTTTGAGGCAATGGTGGTCCATCTTGAGGTTCTACTTCCCATGCTAATGAACCTACTTTTCAGATATGGATTACCTAGCAATGGTGATAGCTAGCTAAGCAGTTGCCATTTAAAATTTTCCACAGTACCTGACAATGATTCCTCTAGTCTAGATTATCTATTTGAAAGATCGTAGGAAACTTCTCAGACCTCATAATCTTGTGTTGGTGGGCCTGGATAGTTGCTGAAGGTTAGGTGCTGAAGTAGAATTAGATGGAGGATTTCATAGAACAGAAGATAAATTCAGATTTCCCAGTACTTCCTTTTTTATCCCCCCCTCCCTTTTTTTTGCTGTGCATAGGTGAACGTCTCTATCCTCTAATTCATGCAAGGCACCCCACCCTGGCTGGGAAGATTACAGGCATGCTGTTGGAGATAGATAATTCTGATCTGCTACTTATGCTGGAGTCACCAGAATCCCTTCAGTCTAAGGTACTGGGATTCCATGCTTAAAAATGCCCTAAATCTACCATTCCAAATTTTTCAGGTGAAATGAACTGTTCTACTCTGTGTTAGGTTGGTCTGCACAGTTAATTTGTCTCAATAGCATCTCCATGGCTGTTTTTCAATTCGGTTTTTCAGACTGATTTTCCACCTGCTTTGTTCTTTTATATCTCCTGATTATTCGTTGTGCTACTGTACAAAATTGGGGTTATGTTATTGTCCTTTAAGTGTATGAATCCACAAATGCACATCTGCTTTAACTTTTCAATGGTGATCCATTATAATGATAGCATGAGGGAAGAACGGAGACAAACAGCCTAGAGATATTAACTATATTCACTCCTACGCACCTTCACTCCTGTTTCAAACTTATGAGCATAGGGATACTGGAAGAGTGGTAGCAAACGTTCACCTAATCCATTGTTCTGTCTCCTGTAATGGCCAACTAGATGCCTCTAGAATAGCACTCACTGGTGGTTTATCCCCAGCTGACTATCAGATTTCTGACTTAGAAATCTAGCCATTGAATATACCAATAATGTATTCATTACTGGTCTGATCTATTTTAGCATGATATGGGAGTGCTACTATAAATATGATAAGTTCTAAGAATGATCAGAACCGTGGTCAGAAGAAAGCTTGATAGAGTGTGAAAATGCTAGGTTTGTTTAAAAAGGCAGTGTGAAAGGAACTACGATAAAGAAGAAAATCTTGGAAGTTAAGAGCAGATATAATGGGAGTGATACAAAAGGTTGGGAAGGACTGCACTTAAAATAACATTTAAACTGATAAGGATGTATTCTTCAAGATGTTTGTTTTTATAGCCTCTCCGTTATATATTTACTGTATATTCAAGTACCTGTATTGAAGCAGGTTTGATCCTAGAAGGACAGATTGACTACAGGTAATCCTTGATTTACAACCACAATTGAGCCCAAAATTTCCATTGCTAAGCAAGGAAGTGAGTTGTGTCCCATGTTACAACCTTTTTTTTGCCACAGTTGTGAATCACTACAGTTTTTAAGTGAATCTGGCTTCCCCATTGACTTTGCTTGTCAGAAGCCAGCTGGGAAACTTACTAATGGTGTCCAGGACAGTGCAATTGTCATAAATACATTTCAGTTTCTAAGTACCCTAATTTTGATCACACAGTCATGGAGATACTGCAATCAATACAATGCAAGTCATAAGTCGCTTTTTTCAATGCCCTTACAATTTCGAATGGTTACTAAATGAATGGTTGTAAATTAAGGACTACCCGTACAGTCATTTAATTCATGGTCTGGCCATGAGGTTAACTATCACTGTTTCCAAGAACACTTTTTAGTTAATAAAGGTACTTGGGCCGCTTTATCTATGTACCAAGTCACATCTGCTTTCTTCCTCTCCTGCAACTTCATTAGCATGAAAGAGTTTCATGTATCTCAAAAGCTCAAGTGCAATTTAAAAAACAACTACATTGAATTTGAATGGGAAATAATTAAGTGGCTTTGGGTGGTGGTGTTCTTAATTATGATCTCCTTTTCAAATATTTTATAGCAAGATTGTTCATCAGAAGGCTTGTGAAGGAGGGTTCAGTGCCAAGTAGAGAGAGGGTAGCAAGTAAACAGATGAACCTGACCTATAAAGACAACTTCCCAGATCTGTTAAACGGGGCCATTTCACAAATGTAGCGAAGTGGTTGTCTCAGCATGTTATAGTCTTCTCCAACTTGGGGTCTTTCAGGAGAATTGGAATTAGAGCCAATGAATTCCAGGACTGCTAATCTCAAAGCATCAGCAGGGCTCTGGAGACACATATGCTACTGTACCAGCAAAATTCAAGTAGAGTTTCCTTTTAAAGGCTTTGCCCTGACTGTGTGTTGGATTCTTTGGATGCAGAAACGATATTTCAAACTCTGCAACCGGCTGTTCTGAACTCCAATCTTGTCTTTGCCTTTGCCTTTGTTAGATCGAGGAAGCAGTAGCTGTGCTGCAAGCCCATCAGATCTCTGAAGCAACCCACAAGAGAAGTTCAATGGCATTTCTCCCCTGACGAAGGTGCGCTGAGTGAGCATTACCTGCTGAGCCTAACTTTCCATTTCCACAGTGCCTGTGATTTTACAAAGTCAATATTCTGTTTCAGCTGCCTTCCCCTTCCCCGCTTCTAAGCATTACTTTCCATTGCATAGAATGCCTTAGCACAGTTTTGTCGATCTCTACAATTTTAAAATGCACGGACTTCAACTCCCATAATTTCTAGCAGCTGATGTCCACACTTTTTAAAGTTGAAAAGACTGAGAAATACAACTTTAGCAGGAAAGGAATGTGGATGGTATAATAGATTAAAGTGCACGAAGACTGCAGAAAGGCCTGTCTGGGAGGGCTAGTCTAATTTACAATTAAGATTTTGGGTGCAAATGCTCACTTTCACATTGAAATGAAAAATAAATGATTTAAAAACAAGTTGTTGCTAAGGCTGTAAAGCTAAAAAAAAAAAAAAGCTCTTGAAAACCTGTTAACTAGCAGCATTTTGTAAAAAGAAAATTAGCCTTGGCTTTTCCAATTAAAACTAAAATGTGTCGTTGCAGGAAAAAAGGAAAACGGACAATCCCCACTGAAGAGGACAAAACCTTCATGTTACCAGAGATTTTGTGAATATCTCTTTAAACTAGTTGTTCTTGCAAAAATCTAGCCTGATTTGAATTGTTTTCTTTTTTGCACTGAATAGCTATTATAGTAACTTTTCCCATATGTAATCCTGGTATATATGATAATGATGCAGTAGGAAGATGAAAATGGAACCAAATGATTCTCTTATGTTGTTTTTTGCAAATTTATTTTTCAATCCTGGTTCTTTTGTGATAATCTTAAGCTTGAGAGCCTGTAACAATATTTTATTTATTCCTGCTGTTGACTTGATAAAATAACTGAAACTTCACTTCACCAACCTTTGTCTCCTTTTCTAGATGCTACTCTTCACATTTGCTGTAGAAATGGCAGAAACAACAAGTTTTTGTTTGTTTGTGGGTGGATTCAAAACTCTTAATGTTTCTTTTTGTATTTATTTTATTCAGTTTATATGACTGTCCGCTTGCAAGTAATTCTGGCCACTAGCAACATTGAAACCAGCAAAGGAATATAAATAATAAAAATCCCAAGGGGAAAAATACCATTGAAAAGCACCCAAATCTGTCGCACCCAAATCAAAATTTATCAGGACTGGATTGCTGTTGCTAAGTGTGATATCAATAACTACCATCACTTAGCAATGGCAGTTTTGGCAGCCCTGGTTGTCATTGTTTAGTGACAACCATATGCCTCCTTAAGTGAAGACCTCTCGTGACTGTGACTTCCTGCTGGTTTCCCTACTGACTCTTGCTTGTGGAAGCTGTCAGGAAACATCAGAAATTTTGACATTAGAACTGCAACTCACTCTGGTAGCCAGAACTACAAGGACCTCTTATAAATACCATTCATGCTGTCCATGCTGTTTTAACTTTGAACAGTTGAATCTGGGGACTACCTATATTAACACACTGATGGTTCATGGAACATCCTGACCTGCCGACTGGGGGAAGGCTAGATTTGGGGGGGGGGGCGCTTTCTGAAATCTGGCAGTGTTGGCACCATCTGGATCTCTGGGTGTTCTTAAGAACCATTCTTAAGACTTAGAACAGTCTTAAATAGAAGACTGTTCTATTTCATTCTTCTTCTTGTGCCATATCCGTCATCGGATGTTGGCGATCATGTTGGCAATCCTATTTTTATCAACAGCCACACAAAAAAGTGCTGCTGAGTTTTGTCCAAACCAGTCCCTTGGATTTTGAAGCCATTATTTATTTTATTTAGTGTACAGCAAATACATGGACTTATAGTGGTTCAAATGTTAATGCCCAGTCCACCCAGCCATTCAAGGACAGGGTGGTCTATGTTGAAAAAAATCAAGACATTGGGCCTGTGTGAGCTCTTGGTGGACATTTGGACATAATGTGATACATATTTTGTCGAGGAGCACCTGAGGGGTAGAGACAAGACCCCACTTAAACAATGAGTCCTGGCAGACACCATGTTGGGTACGGATCTTAAGAGTTGACCAATGTTGACGAGGAAGGTCAAAACCTGGCACCTTTTGTGTAGGGTCATATATGAACTGCCTGTATCTGGCAATTCAGCAGTCCATTTGGCTTTTTTGTGTGTGTGTGTTAATGTCAAAGTTGTTAGATAGCTGTTGAATAGGAACTGCAGTAGTTCATGCTGGCACTGTTAAATAGATGTGACCTGGGATATGCCAAACCTTTCTAATATTCTTATATTCTTGGATGAGCAGAGAGATGGAGATAGACAATTCTTCAAATATCCTAGCCCTGTGCCATAAAGGGATTTTGTACACAGTAATCTACCAAATAGAAGTATACCAGTAATCACTGCAACTTATGCAGGGGTGGTATTATGTATGTGTAGTTAGGTATACCCATAACTGCTGAATTTTGGATCACATGTAGCTTCTGACTCACCTTCAAGGAAATCCATCTAGAGCAGTGATGGCAAACCTTTTCCGCACGGTGCCCAAATTGGAACGCATATGCATGCTTGTGCATGTGCGCATGCCAGAGCACCAAAAAACCAAAGACCATCTGGCCGGTGCATGCATGCCTGTTTATTAGGCATTTTGGGGGGCGTTTTCAGGCCATTTTTGGGCATTTTCAGTGCCAAAAACAGCCTGAAAAACGGCCTGAAAACAGCCCATTTTCCGGCGCTCCAGCACCCACGAAGACCAGCTGGCGCCAGAAACCAGACCAGCTGGCAATGGTGCACATGCCCGCTGAGAGGGCTCTGGCATGCATGCCATAGGTTCGCCATCATGTATCTAGAGCATGGTCTGTTAATCCAGATGAGTGACTGTGAGCAGAGCCATATAATCCAGGAGATGGTTTAGAAGGATATCTTAAGTGACTTGCAAGTTGAGGGTGACCAAAAAAGAAAATTGGGGTTTTATAAATATGCAAGATAATGCTCTCTTTAGTGTGAAGCATCCTGGGTCTTTCAGTCTATGGCATACTATATGCCACAAACCAGACATTATAAACTTTTATTTTCCTGATAAATATGGCACCATCATTCATATTACCAGAATTACATTTAATATTACCACTTGGGCCTATGTTTGCACTTAGTTTGGGGATGTATGTAATCCAGTTCCAGTTGGCTCCAAAAGAGAGAGGGAAGACTAAAGACCCTGTCTGGAAATTGGGTATTCATTTAGGCTACATTTATGCCATACAAGTAATGGCTCTTTTCTCTGATGTTTTATCTGCCTTAATATACCGATTTTTATTTAAACAATGCCCTGCTATTCAAAGGCAGTCAATAAGGGCTAGGATAGATGCACCGTCATCATCAGAATAATTAATTCCATGTCAGTGCTATACTAAAACCAATAATTTACTTTCTCCAAGACCCATTGAAGCTGCAGCCTAATCAATTTCTCCACCTTTCCAAAAAAAGGGGAGGAAGATTGGCTGAAAAATTTCTAGGTCAATATCTCAAAGGAAAGATGGATCAACTATCCCAGGGCTTTTCAAACTTGACAGCTTTAAGACTCGTGGACCTCAATTCCCAGAATTCCTCCTCCAGTCATGTTAGCTCAGGAATTCTGGGAGTTGAAGTCCACAAGTCTTAAACTTACCAAGTTTGAAGACCCTTCAACTATCCCATCCCCACCTCCCACAAAACTGGAAACTTCCACAGATTATGAGATTTTAGTGGGTTTACTTTTATTTTTAGCGCATAATATTGCTTGGCAGGTATAGGTGCTATATACATTCCTGGTGTAAATCCTTTCCCCCTTGGGAAGGAAATAACGCAATGATAATGTAGAGATGAAATTAGGACAAGTTTCCTTCAAAAAGAAGAGATGCTCAGTATTAGAACACTAAAAAAAGAAGAGATTTGGAATATTCTGAATTTATATCCATAAGAGCTTGTTTATTTTGAAAGTTAAAAATAACAGGGTATGTTGATCCTTGCAACAAGGCCTAAGGACAGACTCTCTCTAAAATTTCTAGCAACAAATGATATTCTACAGTACATTGAAAACAGAACTTCTCAAAATGCTTCGTGCATGGTCTCTACTCTTAGTAAGAGGCAAAACTTTTCTCACTAAGACAAGAAATAATAATGCTCCAAGTGGGTGCCTACAGAGCCACCTTGGAAAAGGTGCAGAGAGAGCATGCTACTCAGAGTAGCAACATCTGTATAGGTATTGTAGAAGATGTAAGGATTTTTTAAGGTGACATAGTGGTAAATTTTGGATAGCATTTTTACCAAATAGCAGGCGGATGTTCAATTCTCCTACTCAAGCAGAGTATCAGGATAATAGGCTGAATACTAAAAGTGTTTTTTCATCTACAATATATTTCTCTATAGCAAGAAAGGAAAATGTGTAGGTGTTGCTAAATTACAACTGCCCAACAGATCCATCAAAACACGGCCAATGTGAGAGATACTGTGGACTGCCCAACATATATGACTCATTCCTTTCTACAGTGATGTTTTTTGAATTATCATTCTGAGGGCACTTTTTTTTTTTTTTTGCTTGCAAGAATCTAGGTTGTAGATAAGCAACTGTAAGAAGATGCAAAAGCAGCCCTGAGATTGGGCTATTCTAAATTGATCATATTTTCCCTAACATGAGCTTTAGCTTATAACAAGGTTAAAATGAAAAAAGTACCTCTGGAAAAAGAGTAACATATTTCAACATGTATTTAACTTTAGAGAACATGAAATTAAACTTAATTACCAAGAACTGAAGAGGCAAATTGCTAAAAGGTATAGATAGAATGAAGAAAGGACAAGATGCCATTCTATAGTAAAGGACAAAAGCATTTTTAGATTTCCAAATAACACATTGAAGACCAAAATGCTCCACCAAAGCTAGTCCACAAAAATTAAGGCAAAGCAGGATCTTGAAAGTCTTACTGCCTGTTTGTTAAGTTAAGACTTTCATCAATCAGCCACTATAATAGTTCTGTCTCTGCAAACACACTAGGAGTACATTGGACAAATAGTGTGCTAATTAAAAACAATTCTCTAGAATTCCTCTTCTAAATAATTTGCAGATCTCAAGAGATAACACAGAATTTTTACAACTGCAGGAGGAAGAATGGATACTTTTTATAAGGGATGAAACCAGAGAAACATCAGCAGGCCTAGGATTTTGCAAACGCATCCCAGTAATCTTTTTAAAAAAACAAAAACATATCAGAAAAGTACAAAGTTCTAGCTATCTTATTTTAAAAGCTTGTTTAGTTCTTGTTGTAGTTTCTTAGCAGCACCGTTCTCTGGTTCAATTTTCAAGAGGCTGTTGATATCTGCTTTGCTGGATTTATAGTCCTAGAGAAACAGAAACAATTACAATTCTGAGAAAAATACCTTTAATGTATTTTTAAGGGATTAAAATATTTTATTTTGTTGCAGCCATACTGTTCTAACTGAAGACAATACCTGCCTTGTATGTACTGTCCACTTTTATAAGCAAAGAAAGAATTGTTTGGAGTTGTCTTTTTAACTTACACAGAAGAAACCACACACACACACACACACACAAAAACAGAAAAATATGATAAGGAGCTCCAATAGTTGCCTACAAATTTGTAAGATGGTTCTTTAAATGCAATGCAGTTAAAATGATCTACATTGTAAGGAATATTATCCACTGAAAATCTTAAAGAGAACCCAATGAGGTTATTTCCTTACTGAGTAATATAAATCTGAGTGTCCTATTTTGACTGTGCACTTATTTAAAACTTAAAACAAAAACAAAAAAGTTATTTACCTTAAGCTCTTTATATGCTTGTGCTCGTCTGTAAAATGCCTTGACATTTTTAGGATCTATTTTAAGGGCTTCTGAGCAATCCACAATTGCTTCTTTGTACTGCTTCAGATTCAGGTAACAAAGAGCTCTGAAATATAGAAAATAACCTATACATGTCTTCAAAAACAATTGGTTACAATCTAGGATTCAAGGTATTGATTCATCTCTTGAAGACTAGAAGTGCAAGTGTTCCATTTATATTTTCAAATATTTGGCTTTAATTATACAATGCATGTGTTAAAAATGTTAAAAGGCTTTACACATCTTGCAACGTATCTACAATTTCTGAGAAAGTTGTCCTCCAAATCTATTTCCACATCCCTGAAATTATAATGGATGAAATTATTTGGTATTGTCACCAGTACATGTATATTCACTACCATTACATATTTATTGTTACTATGCACTTACTACTGTAGCTGAGGATACTGCAGTTATATATATCCTGAACAATATGTTGCTCTTGTCATTAAAATTGCTACAATATATCTTTCAGTTCATGTATATAAATGACATGAACTTAAAGTGATTCAGAATGCTGTATCTGGCCAATCCAATTTTTATAGCTAACAGTTCTCCAGAATTTTTTTTACATATATACTGCAGCGCCTCCATGTAGCATTTGTTCACAGCAACTCTGAACTTTCAATCTAGTTTTCAGTGCCACCTTGAAAATATTACTGAGCCCTTTGGAAATATAATAGAAATGGAAAACTGAAATCTTTGTTCCTGTTTTCATTGTTATTACATCATAAATCAGCATTTTTCATAATTGGAAATTTTAAGATGTGTGGAGTTTTGGAAGCCCATACCCACACATCTTAAAAGTTGCCAAGCGTGAAAGCCAATATTCAACATCAGTCCATGGCAGGATGAAGGCCGTTTTTTTTAATTGGTGGTTATGTAATCTACCATGTTGTTCCAGTGCAGGTTGATAGGCAGAAGTTCTTCAATTTCTAGGATTGACTCATTCTGCCAACTTCCATGCCCTAAGGAGGGCAAGAAACTGGATCTTCCTACTTCTATTCTCACACCTTACCTTCTTACCATTCTGGCTCTCAGAACCTATTTACAGCACTATATAATCCCTTGTTATAATATACTTTTTTATTTTGTTCGTTATGCTGCATAATTGAATGTAATCCTTTTCTTGTGTTAGCTTAGAAATGAAGCTATTTTACCAGTGTGTGTTTTACTTGGATAGATGGCATATAAATTAAATAAACATCACCAGCAATTTTCCCACAGCCCCACACAGGATAAAAATGGAACTGCATTCTACCAAAAGGATTTTTACCCCTACATTACACCCTTTGTGAACTGCTATCTACTTGACTATTACTACTGTCCAGCTTTTCTAATTCAGTATTCTTACATAATGCAAATGGGAGGGTGGTCTTTTTCAGTTCACGGCAGGGTGGGATTCTACCAGTTCGCACCTATTCGCTAGAACTGGTTGTTAACTTTCTAAGCAGTTCGGAGAACCGGTTGTTAGAAGAAATTACTGGCCTAATCCTGTAAGGAAGGCAGGAAGGAAACATTCTGGTGTTGCTTATAGAGACTGCCTCTCCATTAACTCGTATTACATTTTTGGCAGGTCTTGTCTTCCTATCTCAGGAATGTCTCTGGAGGTTTTTCCCCCTCCTTTGCTGGTACTTTGCTTGTGTGGAGTGACCATTTAAAGTTACAATGGCACTGAAAAAAGTGACTTATGACCATTTTTCACACTTACGACTGTTGCAGCATCCCCAGAGTCACGAGAGGCCAGGCAAGATGTGTTCCTCAATGTGAGCGATATTGAGTTGGCCATGCCCAGCCAATAACATGACCACCAAGCCATGTCCACCCAGTCACAAGACCACCAAGCCATGCCTACCACCTAAACCACGCCCACAGAACCGGTTGTTAAAATTTTTAATCCCACCCCTGGTTCACAGTCCCAGTTTAACTTAAGGATCTAAACTGCATTCAGAAGGGAATGGGAAAAATGATTTTCTTATATATAAAGACAGACAAATGCCATGTAAGTAGAACAGGAAAATGCTGTTCTGAAATAAAGAACTACGGAAAGAAGAAAGGATATGTGTAGGTGTTTTCCATGAATAAAGTATTTACTAAAGTGTTCTTCCTTCAGGATAATTTTAAACTGACAATCAAATCATTTCCACTCCCTGACACTATATACCCGTGATGGCGAACCTATGGCACACGTGCTGGAAGTGACACACAGAGCCATTTCTGCCGGCATGTGAGCCGTCACCCGGAACAGATCCATTGCACATGCGCCCATGCCTCCTGCCAGCCAGCTGATTGTCAGGTATCTGCTGCACATGTGTAGGGCTGTGGCGCATGTGGGGGGGTCACGCACACATGCGCAGAGCCGCGCGACACGCAGGGGGTCGCGCACACATGCGCAAAGACACGTGGCAGGGGGTCATGCGTCCATGTGCAGGGGGCGGGAGTTGCACGTGCATTGCATTATGGGTGCAGTTTTGTACACTTTTGGCACATGGCAATGAAAAGGTTAGCCATCACTGCTATGTACAACACTTTGGTTCATATATCAGGCAAAGCTGTAACATCTATCAATCAGTCAACTTTACAATGGCTTCAAAACAGCAAAAATATCCATTATACTGCTTCAAATTATAATAACACAATAAGAGATGGAGATTATATAAGCATTATATTATAAAATACAATAAGATACACTGATGAGATGGATTTCCATCTTCCTATGGGATTTTTTGTTGCATGTGATGGAGCTGAAAAACAATTTTGCTATTTGAAATTTGATTCCAGTCCTTATTTAAAGATAAACACTTATATTAAAAACCATCCAGAACACCTGGGACTGTTTGCATTAAGGGGACTGACTATCACGATATTGCAGACCTCCACATGGAAGAGGCTGTCATCAGTTTATGATAACAATTGCCATAATTGCCATAGCTAAGTGACACAATGATAAAGCACAATGACAGGTGATTGCGCCGCTTAGCAACAGCAGTTTTGGTTGCTGTTGTTAAGCAATGTTACGTGACTACAACGTCTGATTCCCTTTCTTGTTGATTTTGCTTGTGGGAAGTCAGTAGGGAGTGTTGATGGCTGCAAAATCAAGCACTGCAAATCAATGGCTGAGGGCCCCCTTGTTCAGTGCTGCCATGATAAAAAAAAATGGATGTAAGCTGAGGACTATTGTACAGAAAACATTGGTAGATCCAAACTCTGTCCCTACAACTCACCAGAGCAGTCTCTTTCCATACACACAGGGTAGCCGAACTCCTTCAGGGCAGGGCAGAAACAGAGCTCGGAGGCCGAAGAGCTGAGCTCCATTCCAGCAGCCTGCCAGAGCAGTCTGCTTCCACACATGGAGGGGAACTGAACTCAGCAGGCAGCTCTTCCAGTTTCTCTGTATAATGACTTGGGAGACTCCTTAATGACCACAACTGGGAGGGCTGGGATTATGGTTACTGAGGAAGGCAGTCATATGGGTGTCTCGCTTAATGACCTTTTCACACAACAATCGAGATACTGGTCTCGAATGTAGTGGTCACCTCAGGACTACCTGTATATTTGATATATAAGGAAATCATTTTCTCTGGCCTTGGGGTGAAAGGTTTGGAGATGCTATTCCAAGTTCTCATGGTCCTCATCATATTGACATATCTGAATTATGTTTTCTTATTTCTAATAAGTGATCTAAAGTAATGTTGAAGTTCAATGGAGTTTAGTGAGGCAGTAATTTTTGTTTTCATTCAGACTGGAATTTATTACATCACTGGATGTGTAAATCCAAAAGACCAGTATGAGCACCAATACCAGTATCACCATTTAAACAGCAATCATCCTTGAATAACTCAAAAAATTGCAGCAAAGTATATAAGAGTTGCTTAGAGTGCTGTTCACAATGGTGCTGGCTAATACATATATCCCGATATTTCCTTTCTATGACCCATTTAAAATTGAATAAAATTTTAATTTGTAAAATAATATGTATGAATTATTGTATTTCATACAATTAATCAAACTGTGGTTTAACATGCCAATGGCATTGTCTGATTACTTGTCAAGTTAGTGAAGTTATTTTTCATTTGGTTACATAAGCATTACCTGTTAGTGTAAGTTGTACATTCCATCTTGTGGAGTTTTATACTCTCTGTATATTTTTCAATAGCTTTCTTATAGTTGTTCTTTTTCACAAATTCATTTCCTTCTAGTTTCAGCATATTTGCTCGTTCACTTGAGGCAGCATTAGGCACTGGAATTCATATTCAAGAAAAAAGAGTAAACTAATAGTAAAATGAAAACATTTCATTGCATATTTATTATTATAAGAGAAAAATATCAGGAATGAAAATCCAGTTCTGAATGCTTGGGACTTCGAATGACCGTCCACTAAGATTCAGGAATTAACCATTTCTGATATAGAATATGATACTTCAACTATTAATAAGCCCAATGTTTTTCCAGTTACTTGGAATTAATTCTCTGAACTAGAATGGAATAGTACATGGAATAGTACGTTTTGTATTCTTCTTCCTAAAATCAATTCATATAGAGTGCCACTCTATTTATTCTCTTTTAAAAATCATGTTTCCTACTGTTTAGCAGAGCTTAAGGAACCCAAATAATCATATGCTTATTTATTGATGTATGTGCGGATAGCAAGTTTTTGTATATGTTTTTATCAGTTATTTTCTACCCCAAAAGATTCTCTCTTCGTCCACTCCAACAACCATTCCAAAATGCATTTGTGGTTCCTTGGAAACACAAGACAAGAAAAATGAAAATGACTGTTTGGACAACACCTTTTAGAAAAGTATGTATAAGCTAAAGATGCTTTAATCACTTACCACTTAGTAGATGAAAAGGCTACTGACCTTGGTTTGTTTCAGGAACAGAATTACTTGCTTTGGCTCTTGGAGTATCTTCCTGGCTTCCAGTAGGAGGCTCCCACCTTCTCTGAGCAGAAACAGGAACAGCTGGGATGGGGGGTAACTTCTGGCGCCATTGAAGACCATCTTTTTCCAATAAAGCCTTTGTCATTCTAAATGAAGATAACTGTATGTAAGATTATAATACATATTATCTGCTGCAATATCTTTTTTTAAATGTTATTTGGTTAACAAATCTATATTATCAGAAAATATAGATTTTGGTTGATAAGTTTTGAAAAAGTTATTGATCATATACTGCAGTAGTAATTTCATGGCAGTAACTTAAAACAAAAAGGTAGCTGATTAATAATTTCTTGGTTATTATGGCCATTTCTAGAAGGTTTATTTCAATACAGTATTCCCAAGAAAGAGCTGGGTAACTTTGTGCTATGCCTGTCCTCCACATCTGGCCTCCCAAGAACCTTAATACTGACAGGATTCTAACTCATGTGTGCTAGGGGGAAAATTGGTGGAGGGAGAGTAATGTGTGTCATCTTGACTTCCTTGAGAACAGAATATAAACCAAATAATTATATAAATAAATAATAGGCTTTGTTCCAAAGCATTACCTTTCAGTGCAGAACATTTTATACATCTCTATACACAGCATGCACTTCTTACCTAAGTGAGGCTAGAGTAATAATATGATCTAATGGACTACATAATTTCATGCTAAGTATTTTGAATGTCAAGTCCCATGACTCCCAGCCACTATGGGCTAGAGTCATAGACTGTAGGAGTATAGTCCAATTCATCGCAATGGCATCAGATTTGCAAATCATTCAATCACTTTTGTATACTCATTAAATACAAAGAAAGGCATTACCTATTGACTCCGTCATGTGCAGCCTGTACAGTGCAATCAATCTGTAATACAGTTTTGTAGTCCACATAAGCTAAATTGTATCGTTCAAGGGCTTCATAGGCTGCTGCCCGCCTCAACAGAGGTTTGATTCCAAAAGGAACCAGATCCAGAGCGCTAGCAGAGGAGAAAACAATTCATGAGAGCATAAAAGTTAATATTCATATTTAATTCCTGGAAAGATTATATACATAGTACCATCAATACAAATAATATTTAAATTCACCTAATTTAATATTTGAAATTTGGCTGAATTATCCAAGCATTCAATCGAAGAGGATAAAATATTTATATAGAGTTTGTCTCTGACAAATGTTTTCAAGTTTTAAGACAAAATAAAAGCAAAGTATGATATATAAATATTGTGCTTGCAATATAAGACCTACTCCATTACAAATCTCAGAAATAGCTGTTTATCTTTACTAATGCTGAATAATATTAAACAATATTAATTTTCCACTCTTGTGACAATATTTTTCTTCTTCTGAATCACCTATCAAATAATTGGAACGCCAAATCTGTTCAACTCAATCAGCTGCACAGACAGGTCAAGCATTTGTCCAGATAATCACCAGAGATGATTTCCAACTTGATGGCACCTAAATAATAAATATGGCATTCCCATTTTTTAAATACTTACATTTCCCAAACCTAAGAAGTGTAGTGCTAACTCCAAGTCAGCAGTTAAAATGGCTGCTGCTATCTTAAGAATGCATAGCAAGCCACTTTTTAAATCTCTCCCACATTTCCTACTGTTTGTCAGTTAGAGAATATACATTTAATCCTCAGGGATGTTATCTTTCATCTTCTCTCTAATAAAAAAACTATTGACAACTGGATATACAGAAAGTATATGTAGCCTCTACAAAGAAAAAAAGTAAAACGTGAGAGAGATTTTTTCATAGTTTTAAACAAGCAGAATTAGTTACTTTATTTCACAATCCCAACTAGACTATGAAAAACCTCAACTGTTAAATAGCCAAGAAGTAAAACAAAAACAAAAAACAGGGATGTATGCACTCATTCTCCTTTTCTTGAGAGAGCAGCTACTTACGCAGAGCAATCCTTAATGCAAAGACTACAGTTCCCATCTTTCAAATAACAAGCAGCACGATTGGAATAGAGAACACTTTTTTCTTCTGTATTCACATCCCCTATGGATAAAGACAAGTGTTAAAATATAGCAAACATGTCTAAGTACAAGAACAGCATTTATGCTAAGGTACAGTTGGGCGGCAGTTGGGCAGTTCGAATCCCTAGCAATGTGTAACGGAGTGACCTCCCGCTACTTGACCCAGCTTCTGCCAACCTAGTAGTTCGAAAGCATGTAAAAATGCAAGTAGAAAAATGGGGACCACTTTGGTGGGAAGGTAACAGCGTTCCGTGTGCCTTCGGTGTTTAGTCATGCCGGCCACATGACCATGGAGACTCCATCTTCGGACAGCGCTAGCTCTTCTGCTTTGTAACAGAGATGAGCCATTCCCTAGAGCTGGAAACGACTAGAATGTATGTGCAAGAACCTTTACCTTTATTTACAAGTTGGGTTTGGCACAATCTCTTCTTTTTGAGATACCTTTAGCTGTCTACATAAAACTTCAAGTCCACTAATTTCTACCTAGCCTTAAGTCATAACTGGGGAAAAATCAAGGGAAATGTGTGGCTTGTAAGTAATAAAATTTTCTCTATCACATTATATATTATCATGAATATATTAGATTTTTATCTTGTGTCAATTGTGAAAGAACTCCAATAATAATTTTTTTTTATATGGAAATTGAATTGGTCCTCCCTAGTTGATCTATGGTTGAGCTAAATTCATTTTATATATATATAATTTTGGTAAGGATCATTTAAATGTAGATTATATGCATTTAGATATACCAGGATCTCCAATCGTGTTAGCATCTCAGTTAAGACTAGAAAAGATCATATTAGCAGGAATAGACATTACTAAACTCTATGGATCAATGGTTTCACCCGCTATGAAATTTAACACTACTCAGTCTTATATACTAGCTTTCAAAGTACTGTTGAATATTCCTATCCACGTGGCTAAATAATCAATATGGCCTGCCAATTTCCTTATAATTGAATACAAATATCAAAAAATATAAATATATGCATTCAAAAATAAAGTTTTCTTACATGTTACCTTTGCTGTTTTATATATACTGGGTCCTTAAATGATGCTTATATACAATTTAAAATAGAATTTATTCAAGGAAAGAGAGCACTTAGTAACTGTTTACCTTATTTTTAATAGGTAGCATGTAAACCTTTGTATCTATTATTCATACATGATTAACAAAAAAAGACCATATGATACCTAAACAAATTATGGAAATACTTTAATTGTATATGATCTTTTCAAACATTTTATAAAGACATAAATGCTCTTTAAAAATGGTCTTTATGTTAGAAAAGGCCTTTTAAATCTTTAATTTCTTTCATTTATCTGCTGGATATTAGGGCTTTCACTATGTTCTATCATTCCAGAATGTTGCTTTCTATTTAGAAGGTCACTCACTCACTATCTCTTGTGTTTAGGAAAGGCAATGGGCTACAACTACGTAAGTAAAAGGGAGACAAGGCTGAAGTTACAAGGTAATTAGATAAGTTTCTGTTCCTCACCTTAGAGTCCATAAGGAACACAGAGGACAGAAATAATCAGAAAATACTTAAAAATGAATTAAAGCTTGGAGGCTCAGGGCAATAGAAAGGAAAAGAAAGTGCTTCACTAGAGCTATCCAGTTTCTGACTCCACACAACTCTCATTTCTGCTAGTGGCCAAAAATCTCTCATTGTGACTGCAGCAGATAGCTTTGCTGACATAATAAGTCTAAAGCTTATTATGAAAGAGGTCTCAGAGACTCCCAGTAACTTAAGACCAGGAAATTATGAAGACCTAAAGTTCTTCTTGTATGTCCACCACAATCTGCCACATTTGGTCTATGTACTCCACGGGCTGCAATTCCAAGAATATGTAGCAAGAGAAAGAATGTTGTTCCATTTTAATCCAGGGGACCATAAAACACCTCTTATCTACCTAAGAAGCTGATAAAAAAAAAAAGTCCAGAACGCTCAAAGCCAGCTAATGGGATGGAGTTTTTATATTCTGCCATCAGGTACTGTTTAAAATATTCTGGCTGTCTACATTTATGTAGCAGGGTTTTGTGGATTTGTTTGTGCATTTACACAAACATCTTTGTGGGTTTGTTTTGTGCATTTACACTTCAAGCTTGGTTCTAGTTCTACAATCTAAAATATTAGACACCAACCATTTCTTTAAAAAAATTCTGAGCAGGATTTAAGCCCAAAGACAATGCACATTGATATCAATTGGAATTCATATAGGAATCTGTTTTGAAATATACTTTTACTCTAAGCCCAGGCCAGACTCAATTCTGAATTGTCATTCTAAGCTTCTGCTTGTCTCTTGACAAAATTAAAGATAGTGGCCCACACACTTTACTACCCAATCGCTGTTTCGACAGATTCAAATCTCACCTCTGCCAGGGAATCTGTCCTCCTCAGTTTCACCCACCTATGAAATGGGTGAAGTCATTATCCAAGAGGTGTTCTGAGAGAATCCCTAAAGGCCCTTCGTGATTTTGCAAATTAAATGTGGAATATAAACGTAAATAATGCCATCCCATCCACACACACACACACACACACCGGTTATGGCTTTGAAGCCCAGCCGGACGCTCCCACCCCATCTTACAACTCATTTACAACACGAAAGAAGTAAATAAGAGTCAGACTTGGGGAATCAGCCGGTACCGAGCAAAGAGCGACCCGATGGCTGAAAGTAAAAAAAACAAAACCCCTCTTTCAAAGCCTATCGAAGGCTTTCTAAGAGAGGCAATGAGGCGACTGCCTCAGAGTCCTAACCCGAGGTCTCTCGTCCAGGACCTCCCGCCCCGGACAACCGAGCGAGGCCTTTGCGGGGGCTTCGCGCTCCACGCCAGTACCTGCCGCTTCCAGCAATTCCAGAGCTCGGCCGTAGAGCGCAGCCGCCTGGCCGTATTGCCCATTGCGGAACTGTTCGTTGCCCGCTTGCTTCAGGTCGGCGATCCGCGACGCAGGAGCCATGAACTCGGGGCGAGGGAGGTCTGAAAAAAGCCGGCACCGGCTGGCGGCGTAGAAACCAGGAGACGCTTTACTTCCTCCGTGCTCGATTTAATTAGGGGCGGTGCAAGCGGCCTACGCCCCACCTCCTTCCTTTAGAGACGCCCGTGCACCGGAGGTCCAGCGCTGCAATCTATACATGGTTGCTTAGGAAGTCAGTTGAGGGGGGGGGGCGGGTTGAGGGGGGGGGGGGGAGAGTGAAATGAAGCTGCCTGCGTAGTCTACAGCACTGTATTCACATTGGGGGGTGAACCCAATGGAGTATTTCGAGCTGTGGGAGGAAAGCCCACTGCATTCATTCTATCAATAAATTTATAAACAGTAATCTCCCGTAAAACTGCATATAAATCAATTGAACAGAAAACTGAAGTTTCAATAAGAAAGAGAGATGGTAGATGTTAAACTTCAATCTCTCTCTGTGTGTGGCAATGACTTTCCAACATATAGTGGCGTTTGCATTATATTAAAAGGTGGGGAGAGTCATATGGGTTTTTTTTCCTAGCAAGGTTTAACACAGGTATATAATAAAGTATCCATGGGATGGGAATCTGGAATAGTGCAAATTCTGGACTAAGATAGAATGTTTTTCTATTAGAAAAAGAAGTGGATTCTGCACCAAATATTAAGCCATGAGAGAACTTTACAATAGGGATCCACAAATTGCAGTGGTCCCACTCAGATTTGTTACACTATAGAAATTTATAATGCAACAGAAAGGATTATTACATGATAGTATGATCTCTATTTAATTGCAATTAGATTTATATATAAGAATACCCATTTGTTTGTGACACACAGCCCCAATTCATCACTGAAAGATGTTTGCAGATTATACACAGCCTATTAGTGGCCCTCCTAGCCTTTTCTAACCTCAAAATCCCAATTTTAATCTTTTTAAAAAATCAGAATCATAGCATTGAATGGGGCCTTGGAGGTCTTTTAGACCAGGGCTCTTCAGGATATACCATTCTTAAAAGCAAATGAGCGCCTAAATCTTTGCAGATAGTTAAGATACTCTATTTTTTTTTAAAGTCCCAGCAAAGTTGAATTTTTCCAGGTAATACTCATTTTGGCCTTTATTTTTCCTCAAACCTAAACAAATGGACCAATTCTTAACCAATTACGTACCTCTCTCCACTCTTGTGTAATTGGCTAGCAGATTCTTGTTAATAAGCTTTATGCCACAGACAATTTGTCTGATGGAATTTAAAATGTCAAATACTTTTCTTGGGAGTTGCTAGAATCCCCCCCCCCCCCAGTAAGAACATTCTGCTTAAGCCAGTGCATGCTGTGATATATAAGTAATCCCCAATTCTCTGTATTATTTTAACAATTATAACACAATTCACTTGATTCAAAGCTTTCTTCCAAGTAAATGGATTGAAAACTGAATCCAGATAGTAACAATCCCAAATAATCAGAATTGTTCTTCTGAACTAGGCATACTTATGATCATATGCTTACCAGTATTCTAATCGTGAATATTCGCAAGTAACCCTAAGTATAAGATTGCAACCATGTGTAAGTTAAATTTCCACTGTACACTAGCTAACATGTATTTGGATAAGAGTAGGCTAAAATGTTTTTCCTAGCTTAGAAGGATATTTTGGGCCAGTTACTATGAATGTGCTGACTTAACAGAATTTTCTGGGTTTGTACACTGTATTGAAATATAAGCCATAAAACTTAGCTTTGTGTGACAAAGAAGTCTAATGGATGTCAACCTGTGCTCAGAGGCTTGCTGATAGCCAATGGCTGCTTTACACTGGGATGCTTGTTTCCATTTTTTTTTTTGAAAAATTGTTCAAATCATAGGGCTGTACCTGTTCTCCCTCCCTTTTTTGTTTAACTTCCTGCCTGAAATCTTTACAAGATGAGAGTTTCAGGATATTTCAGTCCTTTAAAAAACACCTTTTAGTTTTATGATGCTATGGGCATCAAGAAAACGAACTAACGGGTAATAAGGATATAAATTAGCGAAAGGTGTGAATTCCGCCAGGGTGATTGAAAAAAATAATCGTTTAATGCAATGTGTGAACCCAAAGTTAATGGGGTCGGCCACATCTTACTCAAACTTCGGGAAAGCGCGTACCCACCACGCCTTCCCTCGTGAATAAAGGAGGAATAAAGATGGGCGAGATTACAGCCAACCACCCACCCCCGTAGCCACGCCCTCCAAAGCCAGGAGAGAATTGGCGCGAACACGTGGGTCGGGCAGTGAATTTCATCTCCCTCCCCCCCACCCGCGCGCCGGGTGGGCGGGGTCCGTATTTGGCTTCGCTTTTTGCGGAAGCCGGCGGGCATCGCCTCGATAGGCTACTCCGAGGCGGAAGTGCAAGCCGCCGCTTGTTTGGGAGGCGGGGCCCGCTCCTTGAGTTTGGAGCGAGTAAAGAAGAGCTGCGAGAAAGCGGCCGGGATGGAGCGCCAGTGACTGCCGCCTCTCTTTGATCTTCCGCACCATCCCGGCTCTGTCTACCGGCCGCCGCTGCTGCTGCTCCTCCTCTTGCGGCCATGGAGACCGTGCAGTTGCGCCACCCGCGCCGGTGAGAAGCCGGACATTGGGGGGCCCCTAGAGAAAAGGGCGTGACCGCGCGATGAGGATGGTGGAAGAAACCTCAAGGACAGAACGAGCCATGGGGGTGGTGGTGGGGGCTGCGTGCCGACTGCGCTTTTCCTTGCCTCTGAGACCGGCTCTTGGGTCTTCTCTGCAGAGGAAACTCTGACCCCTCCTCCGCTGCCTTTCGCCGGTCCGGCTTCGCCTGCACCTTGTGCCTCAAGGACAGGCGTCTTTCTGTAATTCTTTGTCTCAAAACTGGGCGCCCGGCTCGTTTCCTATTGGTGGAGTCGGCTCTGCGTTTTGCAGCTGTTTGCCTCTTCGGGCTGCGTTAGTCCAACTATTTTCTCTGGATTTAAGTTCCACCTGAAATCCCTTAAGCTACCATTTTGGGTCACCTTATCTGTGAACGTTGAGCCATCTGCTTTCCTCAGTCGTGTTCTTTCCCACTGTCAAAACCGGAGAAGGAATGCAGCGGTACCGTTTAGTGTGGTCAAACTTATATCGCCGTATCAAAAGATACGAACTTGTCATCTCAAGGGAGGCAGGCCTAGGGTGAAATCCCATATTGATTAGTCTAGTTAGTTTTCCAAAGATGGAGATAATTGTCTCTGCCTGGGCATTTAAATCAGGGCTTCAGGGTGGTTTCCAAGTTTTTGGTTAACCCATCAGCAGAAGAATAGAGAAGTGAATAGTAAAAGTTTTGTTTTATGAATTTGCAAGGCTTTCCAAATAATGTTGTCTTTTTAGAAATAGCTTTTCTCTAGAAGCATAAGCTGAAAGCAAAAATATTATGGGCTCTCATGTATACATTTTGAGGTACTTCGAACATTTTCTGCAGAGGAAGTTGGTATCTGTAGTTACCAAAAGCTCATTGCTTGAAAACATAGTAAGGGGAAGTGAATACGTAAAGGAGCACCCAGTGTCTTAAAATGCATAAAGGGAAGTTCTAAAATGTCAAAACCCTGAAATACTGGCAATACATTTCTTGTGCAGTTTTAATTGCTTAAACAGTGCCTTAAACATTGCAAGTATTAAAAATTTCTGTATATGTAGATTGCAAATTATATAATTTACTGAATTACAGATTTTTGTCCCACCTTTAAAAAAATATCTTGCACGTACTCGTTCTTGATATTAACTCACATAGTCATGTATAACCTATATGATTGCCTTTCAGCTGTATAAGGTATGAAATTATAAAAAAATCCCTTTGAAAGCAGACAGTGTTTGTATGAATATCTTTATAAAAGTAAAACAGTAAAGATTATATTGAAATTATATTTACTGCCTGCCTTGTTTAGTGACTGTTTGCAATTACAATGGTGTGAAAAAGTAACTTTGCAACCAATCCTAACATTTACAACCTTTGCAGGCCTGTAAAGCAAAGGAAAGCTGAAATAAGATCATAAAATTGGAATGTTGCACTTAGCAATGTGTTTTTAATTATTACTATTTTGTAATATAAGTTCTGTGAAATCAGGTGGCCTCTAAATTGGATGGGAGACAGACAGATGAATTGGAGTTGCAACTCAGTATTTGGAGAACCAAAATATAGTATAGGTAGTCCACAACTTATGACCACAATTGAGTGCAAAATTTCTGTTGCTAAATGAGACAGATGAGTTTTACTCCATTTTATGACCTTTCTTGCCACATTTGTTAAGTGAATCACTGCAGTTAAGTTAGCAACACAGTTAAGTGAATCTGGCTTTCCCATTGACTTTGCTTGTCAGAAGGTCGCAAAAGGTGATCACATGACCCCAGGACACTGCAGCTGTTACAAATATGAACCAATTGTGAAGCTCCCAAATTTTGGTCATGTGGCCATGGAGAGGCTGCCATGGTTGAAAGTGTGAAGAACAATTATAAGTCACTTTTTTCAGCGCTGTTGTAACTTCGAATGGTAACTAAACATATGGTTGTAATTTGAGGACTACGTTACCCATTGCAATAGGAAAACAAACACAAGTTAAAGACAATTGAAGTCAGAAGAATTTCTGTAACTTTAAACTATTATCAGAGACTGCAGCCGATTTCCATTGATACATTTGCATGCTGAGCAAAAGAACCTGTTTCCTTTCTTTTGTGGTACATTTTTTCCACAATAGGGATGGGGTAACAGATTTGTATATGTGTCTCACCATCTCAGCAGTTCCATATTTATATTCACATGAATATGAACAGTTTGGATTCTCAAAATTGTTTCCTTTTTTTCTTTTATTGCCAATTATTTTTTAAACCTTTTGGGTTTTGGATATTACTTGATGTATTTGCTTTGTAGTGTTTCTCTTTTGATAAATATCTCATAATTAGTCTATAGCTATATACATTGAGTTGTATTACTTACATAGTATGCTTGTTGATTATGAAATTTTGTAATTGTTTTTTCAGCAACAATTATTCAATTTCTATAACAGCCCATCTCAGTCAATGATCTTATAGGAACAAGAGGCTTTAAAATTGGGTTAATGTTTTTCTGTTAAAATGTCTAATCTTTAAT